TAGTCTATGAGGTAATAGACTACTTGGCCACTCCTAGATCCCTCCCATAGTCTTTCTGTATATAAGGTCCATCTTGTCTCCATTAAGATGCTTAGATTCTTATAATCTAGCCACTGCTCAGATTCCTAAAATCTAGCCACTGCTTAGATTCTTATAATCTAGCCACTGCTTACTCATGTTCGGACTCCTTAAGAGTCTGCCCAATATGATGGATGTTCTAATAAACCTTGTCTTTGGCTGAAAGAAGGCTTGGGTCGAATTATTTCGGGCAGGACCTGCGTGTTGTGATTTTGGGGTCCCAGCACCCCTGAACCCCTAAACCACATCAGTAGCACCTCGTCCCCTAAAATGGGAGCCTGAGAAGATAGGAATGTGGCAAATAAAGAGATCTGGCAACTAGTTCTGATCTAGTAGCTACTAACTAGTTGTGTAACCCAGGCAAGTTACTTTCTCTGCACTTCAGTTTTCTCATCCATCACATAGGGAGGTTGTAATGGATTATTAAGATCCCCTCTAGCTCTTCCATTTCTGTTTCTACTACTTCAGTTCTGAATACCTAAGTTGAAGAGCCTAGAGGAAGAGGCCTTCCTGGAGGAAGGCCTTTGGGATGACAAAGGGTCTTTTGTTTGTGCTATGTAAGGATCAGTTAAAGGAAGTGAAAGTCTGTAGGGTAGAGAAGAGAAAACTTGGGTTGGAGAAGGTTAACTGTTCAAGAATTTGAGGAACTGTCCTGTGGAAGAAAAGTTAGGCTTATTCAGCTAGTCCCCAAAGAATTGTATAACTTAGAGTAGTGGGGGGGGGGGGTGGGGGGTGCAGCGAAGGGGAGACGCAAAGAGGCAGATTTAGGCTTAATGTCTGGAAAAATTGCCTGTTAATTAAAGCTATTCAAAAGTAGATTGGTTTCCCTGAAGAAGTAGTAGCTTCCTTATTGATAGAGGCCTTCAAACAAAGGCTGAAAGACCAACTTCTGAGTGTGCCACGGAAAGAATTCTTGTTTGAGCGTAGGTTAGGCCTTTAAGGTCCCTTTCAAATACAAAATGCTCTGATGCTGTGAAGTCTCCAGAACTGTAACCCTGGGCTCTGATGAATAAACATTTCACCTTATCTTGCTCTTTCTCAGGCTGCCATGGTACTTTCCAGCCATGTCTGTGCCATGCCCTATACATCCTTTCTTACTCTGGCTCGGACAAGAGCAATCAAATCAGCAATACTATTCCTGGCAAGGACATGTCATCTAATTGCCCTATTACACCAGTTGATCTTCTATCTGACTTCCCTTTCCAAAACACTCTTCCCTGGCCACTACTGCCAGACGTTATCTTTTATTAGCATGTAGACTCCTTGAGGGCAACAAATAACTTGTTTGTCATTGTATTGATCTGCTTAGCATAGTGCTGAGATATATGTAAGTGCTTAATAAATGTTTCTTCATGCTTTCATTCAGTGACTTAGAACTCAGCTCCCCAGCAGCTTTGCCTTTCAGGAACATGGTTGAGAACCAGAAAATAAGCATGAAAGGCCTCTGAGTGTCCAAAATAGAGGGCCTTTTTACTCAGAACCTGTATTTTACACACTTCTCTAACAATCTTGGGTGTCTGGTTTCTAAACTTGCAGAAATTAGAATAGGGACAAAGGGCCATGGTTCAGGGAGAGCAGATTAAAAATAACAGCTGACAGTGAGGGAGGAAGCAGAAAGCCACGAAGAAGACTCATACTTTCACACAGAACTGTGTAGGCCTGCTTGTGGCTGAAGCAAACAGTCCTATGGACTTCAGTAACTCTGGAGAGGGACATCACTGTCACAGGAGAGTCCATCTATACGATGATTTATGTTGATTCTGAGACAAGAGAAGTCTAAATTGTGTATGTTCTGTTTTAAAACAGGTTAGCATGTAATGTGTTTTATGCGTGTTTACATTCCAATTAGTTACTAACTTAAAGGTTCTCCTACTTAAAGGACACACCATTCACTTATCCAGAAAGTCTGGCAATATGCACAAAATCATCTATTCCTCAAGGGTTCCAAGTATAACCATGTAAATTTTTGAGTCCAAGCCACCAGTATACAACTCCTTGGCTTTGGTACTGGGTTTTGGGTTTTTTTGTTTTATGTAGTAAACATACTAGGTAATAGGTTCAGATAAGTCTTCCAGTTTGTAGGGAGGAGAATATTCCTAGTTAGATTGATGATTTTTAAAATCGTGATTCCCTCACCCTTTATCCTTATTTCTTGATGTCTCTTAAAAAAAATCTGTTTCTCTACATAGAGATTTGGGGTTCTTTTACATTTGAAATCACATGTTGCCCATTATATTCTCAGTTTTTAAAGTCCAATTTCAGAAACCTTCTAATTTTGGAGTTGGGAAGAATGACATTAAGAAGTTATTACAGCTGAGTTTATTAATGTCTATTGTACATTTTTAAAAGGCAAACTGGTATGTTTTTCCTTCTGCTAGATTTTCATCTATAGAAATCTAAAGGGAAGAATAAGAAAATAACCACATGCAAAATTCAGGATTGGCAGTTTCATGCCATCAGCAAGAAGGAGAGGATCAGCAAGGGATTCCACCTACCCAAGTGGCAAAGAGTCAGCCTGGACCATATCATTATCCTGGAAGTCAAAGAGCTTTGGCAGCCACAAGAACATTCACAGTTGGGTCTCCTTCCCTGCTGTCCCAGGGTCTGCCCTCGAGTATTAGCTCTCCTACTTTCAGGACCCATTTCCTGGAAAGGCATACCATATGGAGCCCCTGGCTTCCCTATTCCATTTGTAACCGAGCCCTATGCAGGGCCAACCGTGGAGGAGTGACCCAAGCAGGGTTAGTGTCCAGTCTGTTCTAAAGATTCCAACCCAGTCATGAATGTGAGTGGCCCCAGTTGATGCCAGAGATCTGGGGTGGTGTGTAATTCAGAAGGGTGCCTCACTGAGATAAGAAAAGCACCCAAAACTTCCTTTTTCAATCATAGCTATAAAATGTCAAAATTATAGCATTAAATAATATCTTTCTTCCAAGATTCTCAAGGTGCTATATGAGAAATAATACATTGATAAAGCACTTTATAATTAGAAAGAATTTTAAAGGCATTATTTCATTTTCAGAACCTCTCTATGGTGTAGGTACCATTATCCCCATTTTATAGATAAGTACTAGAAAAATGAACTTGCCCATGGTCCCATAATTAATAAGTAAATATCTGAGCAGAAACGAAGCCAGTGCCATTCCCACTGTCCCAGTGGGAAGTCTGTCTTGTCCCTATAAGTAGTATGGTTGGTTATTGGTATTTTACATCTAAAAGAGCTGAGTACTAATCGGAGCTCCCATTTCTCTAACATTTTGAGGCTTTATGAGTATTTCCTCCTAACTGCTTCCCTGTGAGACAAGGGCAGACTGCCATAGAGGCCTCAACTAAACCCAGGCTCCTGCTGAACCAGGGATCCCTATGAAACCAAGGCTATTTCTGCTAAACTTGTGCCCCTGGTGCCAGAGCTTCCTCTACTAAATCAGAGCATTTTCTACTAGATTACTTTTCCCCCTGGCACACACTTTGCAGCAAACACTTGAATGCCTTTCTCCTTATTTATTATATACAATGGTTACCCCTAGCATTGCATTACAAGGGGTACTCAAATTCAATAAGCCAAAAACATAAACACAGCTGTTGTTTTGGTGTGGCTTGTGGTTTTGGTTTTGATTTCTTTTTTTGAACTTTTTAAAAATAGGCAATTTGTTGAGTTTAAAATTAGTCATTCAGCTCTTTCCTTGTCCTGTGTCTTTCCTTAAAGTGAGCTTAGTGATCTCTTCTTTCTATGCCAGTTTTAATGAGCATGCTCTTTTTCCCCACCAAATTAAATTTTCTTTCCAGAGAAATAGAAATAAAAATGGTTTCACTTTTCAAGTCCCATTACTTTGGTAACTCCTTCTATAAGCATGAAGAAAAGCCAGTATCATTAAAGCTTTAATATTTCTTCTTACACTTTTAGATTTGAAATGGTCTTACATCAAAATTAATTCCTCTGGGGAAAAGTTTCTTCATTGTACTCTGGGCTTCTCCTCCCTGACACTGTAACCTTGAAGCAGGCCACCAGAAATCCCAGTGCAGGTTGGAAATTCAGAGGACAGAAGTGATACATGAAGTTTGCAGCCACTTGGAATTTCCATGTAGCACTAAGGAAATCAGCAAAGGGTTATTTGTCCTAGGATAGCCTCAGAGACCTAGAGCTGAGCAGGACATGGGGCCACTGGCCAACCTTCTCATTTTACCCAGGAGAAGACTAAGGCCAAGAGAGTGAAAGGGATTTGTCCAACCTCACACAAAGTGTAAGGGAAGGACAATGCTTGGATTTGGATGAAGCCCCTCTGATTCCAAATCCTCCACCTTTTTCACAGTAACGGTACCACCCTGCAAAGAGGTTTGTTGACACTAGCAGGTGGTTCTCCCTAAGACTTTATTGAAGTGCAGAAAAGCCATCTCTCTCACACACACACTCTCTCACACACACACACACACACATACACACACACACACTCATCTCTCTATCTAGGGCCTAGGAACTAAAGTTTGGTAGGAGTGACTTTATTTCATGCTATGTCTTTGATACAATTATTCACTTCCCTTTGGTGAATTCCTCTTATGTAATTTACCCTTAGCTGAAACTTTAACACTTGCTGGTAATCTGCCTTATATTGATCCCCAGTTTGACTAAATTAAACAGACACCTATTTAATACATTCACCCGCTGGGTGCTAGGCACTGACCTGTGCCCCCAAGGAGCATACATACTTGTAAGAGAAAAAAATGGGCCCAATTCAACAAACATTTATTAGTCATCTACTATGTGCAAAGGTCAAATATAACTCATCTCTACCCTCAAAAATCTGTATTGAGGTAGAGATGTGGTGACTTTCCTATTACTTCTGAGATCAGTTACAAATTCCTCTGTGTGGCATCTAAAATTTCTATATCTGGACTCTCCTTCCTTTCCATTCTTCTTCTACGTTGTTCGTCTGCCACACACTCTACAGTCTAGCACTGTTGGTCTGCTTGCTGCGCTGCCCTCTTGACATGACTCCTGCCCCGTTTCTGTGCCTGTGCCCTGGCTGTCCCCCATCTCTGGGGTGCTCTGCCTCCTCATTTTCTCCTCTCAGGATCCCTGAATTCCTTCAAGATTCAGTTCAAGTGCCACCTTTTTTTTTGATTCCTGCAGCTACTTGTGCCCTCCTTCCCCAAACTACCTGGTATTCATTCTGTGTCTATTTGATCGATAGTTCTATGGGCACGTTTTGTCTTCTCTGTGAGAAGGAAAGCTTTTTGAGGGCAGCAATTGTTTCACTTTTGTCTTTGTGTCCCAAACACTTAACACAGTGCCTGGCACAAAGTAGATGGTTCATAAGGACTTTTTTGTTGTAAAGAGCGGTGGACTGATTGCTACAACATATATGCAAATAAGTAAATACAAAGAAATTTTAGAGGGAGGAGATCACTGACAACTGAGCTGTCCAGGAGGGCTTCATGGAAGAGGCAACACCTGAACTGAGCCGTGAAAGAAGATAAGGATGCTAAGAGGCAGTGAGAAGAAGGAAGAAATCCGTGTCTGCTTTGTCTAGAACATAGAGTATCAGAAAAGTAATAGGAAATCGATTTGGAAAGGTGGGTTGGAACCAGATGGTGGAATGCCCTTAATGCTTGGCGGAGGAGTTTGCATTGTATCCTAGAGGCAGTACAGAGCCCCTTGGGGTGTTAAGCAGGGACTGACATGGTCAGACCTCTGTCTTAGGACTCGAGCAGGCAATTATTTATGAAGTACCTGCTGTGTTCCAGGTATTGTGCTAGGTCCCAGGAATAAAAACAAAAGTAAAACACTTCCTGTCCTGAAGAAACTTACCTTCTTTTCTTTTTGTGTAGTTACCTTTTGTTTTAACTTCACATTGAATTTGTTCTAAAGCAATTTGATATATTAGGAACCAATTTTAGTATAACATCACACTTACTAATACACAGCTTTATCTGCGAGAAACAGAAACCGTGCCCAACTGAACTGAGCATTTCAAACATCTCCCAGCTCCTTCCTCAGGTCACTGTCTGTGCTCTCCGGCTAGGCTGGGTAACACCATTTCACAGCTCTCGAGCTGCAACCCCACCACTCTCATTTCTACAAGCAAACGAGTTCTTTTTCAAGGTGAAGGGGCGCATTTATTATATATCATCTGGTGTAGTTGGAGCTGTGGGCTGAGGAAGGCTGAGCTACTCCTCCCCCTGATTCCCACCTTCAACCTTGACTGAGGCCCCTGACTCATAGTTGTTGCCCACCAAGACTCCACCCTCTCCCCTACATCAATTCAACTTTGCCAGTCCAGACCCTATGGGAACTGGGCACAGGCTGAGTGACAGCCTGAAGCTGCTGCCACCACTGCTGTTTATTGTAGGATTTATGTATTTTTTAAAATCTTTTAGCATGTATAAAATTGTGCTACCATTTTTATTAGAATTCCTATCTTTTTTTTTTTATGTGTCACTGATGAGGATTTTGTTCCTAGATCTAGCCCCACTTTCCCCATTAGTCCTGTGGTTTTTATTTTGCAATTTTGCACAGTGCACTGATTTTTAGGGATGCATATTTCACATTATAGCAGGACTGATTGTATGTCCCTCCCACCCACTCAGCAATCCTTCCCTTGCAACAAAGAAATAATTCAGCAAAACCAACCAACAAACTGACTAAGTCTGACAATACACGCAATATTCCACATCCATAGTCTCCTATCTTTGCATTGAGGGAATAGAAATTTGTTTTTTCAGCTCTTCTCCAGGGCCAAACTTGGTCCTTATAATTACACTAAGTTCACTTTCATTTTATTCTTCCCATTCACTTTATTCTTTCCATTCACTTTATTCTTTCCATTGACATTGTTGTGGTCATTGTATATATTCAACCAATAATCAATCAATAGGCATTTATTTAGCACTATGTGCATACAGGTATATACAGTGTAAGTGCGAGGAGGAAGGCAGCCTCTTTCAGAAGGCAGGATTTAAGCTGAGTCTTGACGGACCCTGGAAGGCAGATGGAAAGAGGAAGAGAATTCCGGGCATGGGGAACAGACAATGAAAAGTTAGAAATAGGAAAGGGAACGTACACTATGCAAGGAACAGCAAAGAGACCAGCGTTGCTGGATCATAGAATGCACAGAAGGGAACAAAGTATAAGAACCCAGAAATGGTAGGAAGGGGCCAGGTTCTGAAGGGCTTTAAAAGCCAAAAAGGGGATTGGAATAGGGAATCATGGCAGGTTTTTTGAGTTAGGGGATTTGACGTGACTAGACCTGCACGTTAGCAAGATCACATTAGCAGCTCAGTGGGAGGATGGACTGGAGTAGGAGAGACTTGAAGCCAAAAGACCACCCAGCCTGCCATTACAAGAGCTGATGAGAGCCTGGCTCTGTTTACTTGACTCCATATTAGTTCTTTTAACTCTTCCTATGTCTCCCTGAATTATTCATATTGATGGTTTCTTATGGCACATCAGAGCCTGGAGAAGTGGAAATACAGGAGAATGTGAACAGCAAAGAGAATTTCAGAGTTCAGGTACATGAAAGAAGCAGTTTGGATTGGTGGTGTGACCTCCCATGGCAGAGGTGGAGTAGAGATCTGAGGGGATATTGATAAACTGGGGAAGAGCAGAGAAGATAGAGTATTCAAGAGAGCATCAGTATATGCACAAGAGCAGGCCTCCAGGTGAAGGGGATGACTGTGAGCAAGTTGAAAAAGGAGAGAGAGTGACTTGGAGCCTGGTAGATTCCATCAACAAGTACCTTAACCTGTCAACAGAAATAAATGGTTCCTTCATCACAGGAAGAGCTTACAGAATTTCAGCAGAAGGAAAGTTTGGAAGTGGTATTAGAGAGCAAAGTGTATACCAATTCCTCTTTCTTGTGTGTGTGTGTGTGTGTGTGTGTGTGTGTGTGTGTGTGTGTGTGTGTGTGTGTGTGTGTGTGTGTGTGTGTATCAATGTTGGGGGAGAATTCAAGAAGGAATAACAAACACTGGAGAGGAGGATGACTGGGGATACCTTCCAAACAGAGCCAGGTTTGGAGGGATATAAGAAGAAAGAGACTGAAAAGACATTTAGGATGAAGTTAATTTATAGACCAGGAATCCAGAGAGCATAGTAAATGAAGGCAATGGTAGAAGACAGGCACTGGGAAAGGATTAGAGCTGAGTTGGATGGAATTGAGAGTTCAGGGAGAGGTAACAGGGGTGTTAGACTGGAAACAAAAAGTGACAGCTGGCTAGAGCCCATATCCTCCTGGGTCCTTTGGTTATGGTTCTTTGGTTGCAAGTTTCAGTGTCATTTTTTTTTTTTGTAAGAGGAGGCACTGGACATGACAAGCAGTGAGCATCAAAATAAAAATTACTGTCTTAACAGATGAGAAGTGGATAGTTACTGATGATATGGGACTCATTTCTGAATCAACTATGTACAGTCAGATCATTAACTTGTTAGCTTAAAGGTAAAAATTAACAAACTAAAGGAATGGAGAGGATAGGAACATTCCACATGTGGCCTGACATTTTTTTTTAAGTCTATTAACTCCTAAAAATAGGAAGTGGATAAAAGCAAGACATCAATTCTGATAATTATAATTTCTTAAAGGAGACTGGTCCCCACAGTGAGGAGGCTAAAGAACACAGAAACAACTTTAACTGACAAACACTTAATCCCCTTGCTAAACAGCTGGTTATACCGGCCAGGATCGTACCAATTTAGAGTACATGCCAATTTGAAGAACATTTTGGAAGACATTGACAAAAGATTGTGAGCAGTATCAACTCACAAAACTACATAAAGCAGTGGAGATGAAAATTTACCTGTTAGAAACCTTGGTATGAAACCAAAATGAATTCCCTGAGAGCCATTAGAGATGAGTAGGACAACAAAGGAATAAGAAATGAAACACATCTGGCAGCCTTTCTGTAGACGTCTGTTGTTGTCATTGAAGACAATGGAACCACCAAGTTTGTGTTTTACCACCTTGTTACCTTGTATGTAAGTTGTAATAATAGTACTTGGGAGATAAAATTAGAAAGTGGCCTAACTTGAATACATGCATTCAGGAAAAAAAATGTTTCAGAAATGACACCGTTTTAAAAGAATTCAAGAATTGATTTCAAAGATAGCAAAAGAAGATGCCGAAAGGAGAAATCACCACAGTTCTATCTACCCTCAAAAAAGGCATCCAAAAGACATGAGCAACTACCAAACCATATACTTCTCATCTACAAAAATTTAATGAGAATAGTCTCTATGTGTCTGGAGGAAATCCTTGATGAAAACATGAGGAGGAAATAAGCAAGTTTTCACAACTGACTTTCTACTAAACATCCCATTTTCCAGACTAAAAGCAGGTGATGTAAGATCTTGCTGTGAGTCTGTTGATTCTAAAATACAATTTGACTTCATGTATAATACAACCAGTGGCTCTCTTTCCAACAGGATACCTTCTGTGAATATGTCATGATCATTAAAAAAAAATTACCTGATAGATAAAACCAAAGAAATAACTTTGTCGAACAGTCTTCTTGAGGGGCAGCTAGGTGGCACAATGGATAGAGCTCCAGTCTGGGAGTCAGGAGGACCTAAGTTCAAATCTGATCTCAGACTCTTGACACTTACTAGCTGTGTTACCCTGGGCAAGTCACTTAACCCCAATTGCCTCACCAAAAAAAAAAAACAACCAAAAAAAAAACCAAACGAACAGAAGGCAAACAGTCTTCTTGTCAAGTGAGGCATAAAAGACAGATATTCGATAAAAGTGTTCACCAGTTTCATGAAAGATGTTCTTTATAAACAGAGTCCAAATGGAAGGAGGGGAATGTGTATGTGTGTGTGTTTGTGCATTCATGTGTTTTATGTATTTTTATGTAAAACTTATCAAGATTTACTTTTTGTAACTGGCATTATGCTGACTACACCTAGCCTCCTCAATTAGATGATGGCCTATCAATTCACACAGGCAAGACCAAATGCCCAAATACCCTAGCACAGGTGGACATGCATGTGGATGGGTAGGTAGCCCATTGAGTTAGTCTATCAATATGTAAGCATTAAGTATTTTGGATGGGCAATGAGCTGGACTTAGGATTAGAAGAAAAGGATGGGTTCTGTCCCATTTGGGAGATGATTCCACACTTTTCATGAACTAAAAGCTGCTCAGATCCAAAACAACTTCCAACTCAATAGACTGAAGATCATTTTGATGATGCTGCCATGAGGCAAGGCAGTATAGTGGAGTAGATGGCATGTAATTTGGAGTAAGAAGAACGGGGCTCAAATCAGCTCTGCTTCTTATTACCCATACAACCAACTAACTAAGGCAAAACATTTAAACTCCCTGAGCCTTTCTTTTCCTCATCTGTATAATATAGGGAGTGGACCAGGTGACTTTTGAGGGCAAATGTTTGTTGACTGAATCTGAGGTCTATTCCATCTCTAAATCTGTAAGACTATGAGCCTTCGAACAGCACAATCTCAGAAGAATCAAATTGTAAATAGCCCAAAGGGTGGTAGAAAGACATATGACAGATGGAATTAGGCTGTAGCATATATTGCTAAAGATGGGTGTGCATGAAGTGCCATAAAACATATCCTCAAAGTTGTGTATAACTGGAAAAGACCAGTTATGTAAAAGTAGTAGCTGAACAGCCCAGATGTTTCACAAGTATCCATGAAATAGTAAACTAGCACATTAAGTAGATCCCATATACTATACAAAAGAATTTGTGGAAGGAAATGGTCAAGAACTGTACAGGATGAGAAGACATGGATAGGTAGCTACATGTCCCAAATGTAGAGATTATCCACATTGTTAAGCTACCTATCCATCTTGGGCCGTCGTTAGCAAAGGAAAGATTCAGTTGAACTTTAGTGAGCCATGAGAATGTTATAATAAAAAAACCTCTTCCCTTTAAAGTATGCATCCTTTTTTTTAGGTGAATCTTTTATTTGTTTTAATATTTTTCTTTTGCTTACTTAGGCATTAATTATGTAAAGTAGTTGCAGGACTAACATCTATGGAAAAGGCTGAGAATGTCCTATTAAGTAAATTATAGGAGGAGACAGATGTACATATGAAGGGCCAAGGGGAGACATTTTTAGAATGAAAGGCTAATGCACACATTTTGAGTTGTTTGATTATTTTTTTAGATCTAAAGAGAGATTTATGAATATCTCTGGGCTTCATTAAAACCCTGTGGTTTATTCGTTGTGCTGTTCATTATGCTCAATAGTTATATGATAAATTTACCTTAGCACCTCAACTTTGTAATTATATTTTTCAAAATGACTTCATTAATCTTGGCCTATAGAGAACTCTGTTCCCCAGGATTGTTGTCAACATTTACCCTTTCTGTAGCTGCTGCTCTACTAATAAATGTTTTTTGTTTGTTTAGGTCTCACTTCTGGATGAGCGACATATTTAGATGCTTAAAATAATTTTATATGTAAGACCACCAAAATATTAGAACCATGCCTCCAAGACCATCATCTGGTGAATTGTGGGGCATCCATTTGATGCCCCCAAGAATCTTAGTAGAATGTCTCCTACCTAATGGAATGATAGTGACTTTAGAATGCCTCCGTGAGGCTACATTAGTAACTATTAAACATGAGCTATTTAAAGAAGCAAGGAAATACCCTCTTCACCAGCTCCTTCAGGATGAAACTTCTTACATTTTCGTAAGTGTTACTCAAGAAGCAGAAAGAGAAGAATTTTTTGATGAAACACGGCGACTTTGTGACCTACGGCTTTTTCAGCCTTTTCTAAAAGTCATCGAACCTGTAGGCAACCGAGAAGAAAAAATTCTCAATCGAGAAATTGGTAAGATAATTTGGTCATCCTCATTATGACCTCTTCATTTTTTTTCTTATAAGTTAATATTATGGGGATTAATTATTAAACATCGAGGCTGATTTTTGCATATAGCTTATTGACATCAGTAACTTTCAGATATTCAAAGACCTTAATAGTTCCAATTCAGTCCCTTTTAAGCTTAAAGATTGTTCTCCAAAGTCATGAGAGATTTTAAATATTTTTGACCACTAGCCCACTAAACTGACATTTTAAACTCTTGCTACCCTCAGTAAGGTTTTCCTTAATACAAATTACTTGGGGGGTTGGGGGAAAGTGTCAGGTTTACACTTACAAAGTTTGGGGAGAATGAAGTTAATAAAATAAAATTCTTTGATTGTTTACAGTGGTTATTAATATTATTGGCTGTAAATGTGACTTCAAGCAGTTTTAAAGATAGTCCTTAACCCTTCCAGGGTCCTCTTTTTAAGTGGTCAGATATCTCTAATTCTTTCAAGTGGGAAAGGAGAATCTTCTGTGCCACATAACCCCCATCACCAAAAATAGGCAATTGCCAAGATATATAAAATCTTTATAATACCATGACATTGGTTTGGTTATTGAGAATATTATTTTGTATTTTTTAAGGTTTTGCTATTGGTATGCCTGTTTGTGAATTTGATATGGTTAAAGATCCAGAAGTACAAGACTTCCGAAGAAATATTCTTAATGTCTGTAAAGAAGCTGTGGACCTGAGGGATGTCCACGCGCCCCATAGTAGAGCATTATATGTCTATCCTCCAAATGTAGAATCTTCACCAGAATTGCCAAAGCACATATACAATAAATTAGATAAAGGTAAGAAGCATTAAATAGTTACCTTTCTTTAATATGTTAAAAGGTTTGCTATTGTTATAGTGATCAGTGTAGTAAATTCCACCTATATGTATATATGTATTTAAAATAATTTTTCCACACCCAGATTGTAAACTTTTTGTGGGTAAGGATTATGCCTCATATGTGACTAATTCTTGATAGGCCATAACTACAGGTAAATATGCACACGTATAAAGGATTGGCTACTTTGTCAGTGTGGGGGGACTTTACTTGTGGGACTTTCTCTCAGACACAGATTACAGCCCATCTCTGACTTGGTGAATAAGTTGCTAAATTTATCATAGGAGCACTGATTTAGAGCTGGAAGGAAAAGCAGAGGTCATCTAGTTCAACCCTCTCCTATGATGAGGAAACTGAGGCAGAGAGAGGAAGTGACTTGCCCTACATCACACAGGTGGTAAAAGGCACAGCCAGGATTCCCTACAGGACCTCTGTCTCCAGAGCCAGGCTAGTCTTCACGAGACTTTAGGGCAGGGATGTGCTAGAGCCAGCGCAGACTCTCACAAAAAGCAGTTGTTAAACTTTCAGTGTGACTGTTTGACATCAAAAATTGGCAAAAGCTACAGACCAGGGCTTTCTGTATTGTTTAGTTGACTGTCTAGACTTAAGGATGTATTGGATAAAATGGTTAATGAATACAGTCATTAAACTTTTGCCATCGTGCTCCTGCCTCCCTGCCTCACTGCCTCCCTGCCTCCCTTAAGTATTAAGTGCTAAGTGCACAGAATGCTTTGTCAAGTGCCTTGCCTGGGGACCCACAACCAGTCATTGCCCGAGTGAGATCTGAACCTCAGTGTTGTTTCCTCCAAGTCCAGTACTCCATCTGCTGTATTATTCTGCCTCTGGGACCCATAGTCAGTGCTCAGGAAACATCTTAAATGCCAGGAGCCAGTTCTCTGCAGACTTGGGGTGCTGATCAATTAGGGGAAATTGTACCTGTGAGGCTCAAACTGTTGTCTGTGGATGTGGATTATGAATTAACTCTCAGTTTGAGATCCACAGCTCCCTGTTCTTACTTTACTATCAGAAGTGAAATTAGAATTAATTACCAATTTTTAAATGAAAATGGGTGTTAATTCAGGCATTTTCTGAACTCTTTGGAAAGATGTTGGTATTGCCATTACTCATATTAAAAAATTGTTGATTGCTCAGATTCCTAAAATCTAGCCACTGCTCAGATTCTTATAATCTAGCCACTGCTTAGATTCTTATAATCTAGCCACTGCTTACTCATGTTCGGACTCCTTAAGAATCTGCCCAATATGACGGATGTTCTGATAAACCTTGTCTTTAGCTGAAAGAAGGCTTGGGTCAAATTCTTTCGGGCAGGCCCCACGTGTTGTGATTTTGGGGTCCCAGGACCCCTGAACCCCTAAATCGCATCATTTTGGTGGCCCATACAGGGAAACTGCCTAACCCCAAGTTCTTCTCCAGCCAAGACTGGAAGGTATGTAAGCCTCCTCTCCCTCCCTTTCTTGCTCTGCAGTTGGGGTCCCTCTCCAAGCACCAAAGCTTGGAGGTGTTTTTCAGGCAGACAGTTACGAGGCTGTCTAGCGCTGGGCCTGATGCTCTCAGGCTCTCGGTCCGCTGGGTTGGTTCAAGGCCACGGACCTGGGTACACCTTCCACAGCATAGAGGACAAGGACAGACGTCCTGTCCGGAAGTGTATCTGTTAATTCCCTCGGCGCTAGGGAATTGGGAAAAACTGCAGTTGCAGTTTTTGGTTCCCTGAGGCTTACTTACTGCCTTCCCTCTGCATCTCTGAGTCCTCCTTCATGCAGGTTACGGGGAAAGTTAGAACAACTGAAAATATCTTGACATATTCTGGAGGTTTTGTGACTGATCATTAGGGAGTTTTGAAACACCTTTGATTTCACCCTCCCCCACCTGGGAAAGGAAGGAGGGGGGAGGGGCAGCAGCTACAGCATGGGCCCCACTGGCAATGGCCTTGGGCTCTAGGGCAACCTTTCCCTGGAAGCATCACCTAGGTTCAGCACATCCTGCTCAAGGTAATGAAGCTAGATTCCAAACTTGGGTAAGCACGCTCTTTTAAATTTGTAGTTTTAACTGTTAATGATGAGATGTTGATTCTCTGTGTAAAGTAATTTGGAAGTGCATTTAACAAAACTGAAGTCACCTGATTGGTAATGGGTTTGTTTCAAGTTTCAAATTGGTGAACTCTCTGTATCAGTTATGTCAAGCAACTTTTCATAATTTGGTTACTGCTAAAATAATTTAGATATTGTTGGTTATTGTTTTAATGTGTAAACTAGCCAAAAAGTTTGTTTGGGTTATGTATAGCTTGCTGAAAATTTGCAAGTGTATGGAAATCTCTAATGATTGTCTTTTTACACCAGGACAAATTTAAGTTTGAGTTGTAAGTGCTGGAAAAGTTTTTCCTAAGCTGTGATTAGTAAAACTTGCTGTTTGAGGTAAAAACTCATAGGATTTTATTTTGAGTTGTCTGGTGGGTCATAATCCATAAATAATCGATAATCCACCATCTGAGAGAAATGCCACAAGCTACTAAGAGAAGGTGATACTGGTGGAAGTCAGCAATGGGAAAAGCTGAGAGGACAATTTTAGCCTCAGTCTAAGATGGGATCCTCCTGGCTCAGTTTCCCCATTATGTTCCTTTGAAAGGACATGTTACCCATCTGGCTGTTCCTGAGTCTGGCTATGAGGTAGATTTGATACTGCATGGTTGGAAAACTGAATTATCTGAATCCAAACAGAGCTAAGGATGTTTTATCCTCTCAAAGTTGGGCCCTAAATCTAGTCCCTGCATTATATCATCTGGGCCCTGCAGTTTTTTCTGTCAGATTTATGTCTTCCAGACTATGGGCATTCACCTACAGTTGGTAGCAAACAGTGAGTACCAGTCAATGTCCCCACATCATTCCCTGGATGCAGCCTGTGCTCGGTTCCAGTCAACCTACTCTTTGGGACCCCTCGAGGCAGGGACAGCTCTACACCCTTTGCCAGCAGGAAGCAGTTTCAGAAGCCAAGACCTTCGCCCCTTACTCCAAAAGAATTTGGGTCCCATTTGTTTGAGGGGGCAATGATGAGGGGGTTGCTTCAGCAAAAGCAAAACTGTCCTTTCTTTTTTTCTTCAACCAAAGAACACACCTGTCATGCTGATGGGGTTGGGATCTGGGCCCCAGAAAGGAAAAACCCTGGACTTTCCCACATGGCTAAATCTCTGACCATTGGCCTGAGGTTATAATCCCATCAATTGGCCTTTCATTGTGGCTACCCCCAATCTCCCCTCCATTGTCTTACCTCCCTATGGCCCCTGGCCATTTCCCACCCTTAATCGTAGCTAGGCTCCATTCTGTCTTGGCCACCTGGTCCAGGTTCCTGGAATTCTATTACCTCATAGACTACTTGGCCACTCCTAGAACCCTCCCGTAGTCTTTCTGTATATAAGGTGGATCTTGTCTCCATTAAGATGCTTAGATTCTTAAAATCTAGCCACTGCTTACCCATGTTCAGATTCCTTAAGAGTCTGACCAATGTGACAGATGTTCTAATAAACCTTGTCTTTGGCTGAAAAAAAAAATTGTTGATTTTTGTCTTTCATCACCATATTAGTAACAATTTCTATCTAGTAACTTAGTGCTATGGTTATCATTCTAAATTGTGGAATAACTACATGCAAAACTCCATCTTTAATTTGCCATTTATGCTTTAATCTAATACCAGGCAATTCCTAAAATTAAATATTAAAATGGAAATTGCCGTGTTTAGTTAAAATAAACTTCTCTTTGTCATAGCCCATATGCTTTTTAAAATAATATTTTTTAACCCCAGAGTTTTCAAAATTTAAAAAAAATCGTCTTTTGCATATGACACAGATTTATTTTTAATTTTTGTTTTATGGAATATATTAATGCCTAATTTTTAGAATATAAAATATTTGGCTACAAGGTTAATAAATAACCTTATTAATAATGTTTTACTAATCACCATTGGGCCTAATTTATGCAAACATAAGTAAAGTTATCTCTTTCCCTCTAGAATATACTTTTGATCTTATATATTTTCCCATCTTTTTATATGCCTCTTGGTCTTCTCAGTCTTCCTTGTCTTAAGAAAATTTACATTCTGTCCTCCTTCTCTGTCATTTTAATTTATCAGCTATTTTAGCTACCATTGCGTACTTTTAAAATGTGCCTCCCAGTTATAAAATTGTTGGAATTGCTTCCACCATTCATCCACTTTAATAGGCTATTTGTCTGTTGCAATTCTGAATCAATCACTCCCATAATCAGACCCATGGTGTGTGGCACCTTTGCCCTAGCCATGCTTTTGGAGACAGGGAATCAGCTTATAACTTACGAGTGTGAGAAGTGCCAACACATCAGTCATAAAAGAATGGGAAATGTGTAAATGTGTGCAGTGACATTGGAAAACATACCTGCTACCTATGGGATCATCAAGATTTTGATTGATCTTGTTGAGCAGAAATGAAGAGACATTATTTGTGTATTTCTATTGTTTTTACTTCATAGTTACCTGGGTCTTTAGTCAGACTTACAAATCTCTTGAAAATGAAAAATCTCATCTCTTGAAAATGATATTGTTCATGTTGATGGCACATAACAATATTTCATTTTATTCTAGGGCAAATAATAGTGGTGATTTGGGTGATAGTTTCCCCAAACAATGACAAGCAGAAGTACACTTTAAAAATCAATCATGACTGTGTACCAGAACATGTGATCGCTGAAGCAATCCGGAAAAAAACACGGAGTATGTTGCTGTCATCTGAGCAGCTGAAGCTCTGTGTTTTAGAGTATCAGGGAAAATACATTTTAAAAGTGTGTGGATGTGATGAGTATTTGCTAGAAAAATATCCTCTTAGCCAATATAAGGTGAGTGATTTTGAGTTTTTAAGTTTTTATTAATAGAAAGTAAAAAAAAATCATATTACAGTGTAAAGGCACACCCTACAAAGCATCACCCCAACCATTCTGTTTCCATCTAACAGTAACAAAAGCTCTTTTAAGTCTTAGTGTAAAGTCTATTATGATGTTGTCCTGGAAGATGGCTGTTTCCTTCCTACCTCCAAGGACCCAGTGTGCCCTCGTGTTGACATAGAATGATTGAGAGTCCAACCCACACCCTCAAGGAATTCCCACTGTAACATGCCCAACAAAGGACCTCCAGCCTCTGTTTGAAAATCTCCAAAGAGGCAGAACCCCCACCTGTCTTGGGGCAGCCCAATTGAGTCTAGCCCAGTCAGAAAATGTTTACTGAGCCAACACTGGAAAGGTATCTGTCTTCCTTTCTCCTTCTGGTAGTGGAGAGGGAGAGATAGTTCATGGAGGAGCAAAGAAGGGAAAGGTTCTAGCCTAGTGGAAGCTTTTTGTGCTGACCTTTTCCCTTTCCTTCTCTTCAAATCCTTTCCTGCTTTTCTTGTTTTAAACTTTAATAGCAAATCATGTCCACTTAGGACCATCTTCAATCAGATTTACTCAGGAAATCTCTTCCATTCATAATATTGTTCCGTTGGAAATCATTTATTTTTGAGGAACCAATTAATGCTGTTGGTTAGAAGAGTCTATCTGTATTGGTATCCTATATGAAGAGCATCCTTCTTAAAACAGACTAAAAAAACTTTAAGGTAATATTTTGATTAGTATTGTCCATTTATTTGGCCTTAGTTTATGCTTTGCCTTTGATGCAACAGTTAATTAACAAGAGTTGGAATACTGCAACTGAAGAAACTAAAAATGTTAGCAGTTAAACTTCAGTAGAAACAAGGGATCTGAACCTCTAGATTTGTTATAAAACCTTTACACTAACCCTCTAATTCAGTGTTCAGTCAAACGCTACCAGCATTGGGATAACATTTACAGTGATGTTTCTAAGCTTTCTGCTGAGGATAAAAGGTACCCAGTACTTCAAAAAATGAAGGCCAAAATAGTTGTTGGTTTTTTTTAATATAGCCATGGTTTTATCTTCTTATGTAATTCCTTTTTTAGTATTTTCGTTTGTCTCATTTTAACTACTGGCTGTTAACTTTGTCAGGAAATGATGGACAGAAGAGGTAAACCACTCCACCTATTGCTTAAGTGATGTCCCAGCGCTTTGAAAGTTTGTTTCACCATCTTAATGAGCAGTCTCCTCATGTAAATTTCATACTTTGCTTGTATTTGTAGTAAGACAATGCTACTACTCTACCTAAAGAGGAACGTGGTGGGTTTTTCCCACTAATTGGTATTCAATGTTGCATGGTTGGCCCTACTGTCCAAACTCTTCTAGAATGTTAAAATTTTAGTGCAACCTTAAATGACATAAACATAGCAGTGGTTATAAATGTTTCTATAAATGCTGATTGTTTTTATCTTTGTGCATTATATAAGTATTTTCCTTTTGATGTTTGTAGGCATTATCTCTAAAGAAAAAAAAAATACAGGCACCAATCTTCCTCCCCTCCCTCCTCTAATTTGTTACAGTACATAAGAAGCTGTATAATGCTTGGTCGGATGCCCAATCTGATGCTGATGGCTAAAGAAAGTCTTTACACCCAGCTACCACTGGACACTTTTACAATGCCATCTTATTCCAGGCGAATCTCCACAGCCACGCCATACATGAATGGAGAAGCTTCAACCAAATCCCTTTGGGGCGTAAATAGTGCACTCCGCATAAGAATTCTCTGTGCAACTTATGTAAATGTAAATATTCGAGACATTGACAAGGTAAACTCAAATGCTGATTCTTAGTCTACAAAGAAATAATTTTGTAATGTCTGTGTTCCTGTCAATTGTGTGTACTGACAAGGTAAAATTATATTTGGCTGCAATGGAATGTATTCAAGGGCCTAGAGTAGTAATAATACCTTCTATTTATACAGTGCCTGTATTATGTGCATCTCTCATTTAATCCTTACAATACCCTTGTGAGGTGGGAAGGGCAGGTGGATTTACACCAACTTTTAGATAAGGAAATTGAAATTCCAAGTTGGTAAATGATTTCCCAAGGATCAATCAGCTCTGAAGTTGCCCAGCTCAGGCTCAGACTCCAAATCCACTTCTGCTTCTGCTGTAACATAACATCCTTCTATCTAGAAAATAACCTAACCCTGTCTGAGAATACGGAAGTCAGGTTTTATTTGTTTTTCTAGTTTCTACTACTAGTTTGTTTGGTTTGTTTTTTTTTCAACGTTGGAAATCCTGTGTTTCAATAGTTCCGCTTACCTTCCTCATTTTGATTGATGAAGGCAGCATAACCAATGTCAATATAAGTCCACATTAGCTTATTTTGTAGCAGACTTAAGAAAGCACAAAAACATATCTGATATTTGTTTTAAGAATGAGGTGCTTTATTCAATTGAGTTTAGAAACCATTAAGGGGCTGGTATGTGTAGAGCACTATGCAAGATGCTGAGAGACATACAAAGATTAGTTAAGACATGGTTCTCATCCTCATGGATTCTCAAAGGAGGATATCAAAGATAAACTATAATACATAGTTTTATCTCCTTTATTTATTTGATGTGACATCCAAGGAACAGAGAGATCTTTATGGACTGGAGTAATGTGGGAAATCTTTATGGAAGATAGAGCATCTGAGCTAGACCTTAAGGAATAGGTATGCTGGTTAGGAGAATAGAATGGAAAAATTCTAAACATAATGAGCACCATATGAGTGAAAGCACAGAAATAAGAAACTTAGGTTCCATGGGGTTGAAGCAAGTAGTACTAGATCATGGAGCAATATGGAGGCAAAGTCATAGGAGATCCAGCTAGAGAGATGGGCTTATGCCAGATTGTGGATGGTTAGACTAAGAAGGGAGAACTGGATTCAATAGGTATAGAGAGCTATGGAAGCATTTTTGAACAAGCATTTTGAATGCAACAACCAGATCCATACATTAGGGAAAGTAAGTCAAAGAATAGGCTGGAGAAGGAAGAGAGTGGAGGTGGGAAGTCCTAGAAGAAGACCATTGCAGTGAGCCAGGAAGGTGGTGCTGAACGTTAATATTATTGTGGTGACAATGGGAGGGTTTGTTTAAAAAAAAAAAAAGACAATAGGTACAAGAGATATTTTGAAGGTAAAACTTATCAACTGTGGTTGAATGTGAGAAGTGAAGGTGAGGGAAGAGGCCAAGTGATATGAACAATTTGAGTACTAGGAACTAAATAGATGGTGGTGCCACTAAAAGAAATAGTAAAGCCATGACTTTTATCCTAGCTAATGTTATATTCTTTTTTTAGATCTATGTTCGAACAGGTATCTGCCATGGGGGAGAGCCATTATGTGACAATGTGAATACTCAAAGAGTACCTTGTTCCAATCCCAGGTAAAGAGGAAGTATGCCAGTTTCTATTTCTGAGGTCATATTTGTGTTTATAATCATGTCTAGTTTAAAAAAATAGATAATTCTAAATCACTAGTTGTGAATGATTAAGATGATAATGGAAATGATAAAAAGAAGTAAGGACAAAGGGGGAATAGCACTTCCAGACCACACACTCACACATCGGTTGATTAAACACCATAGGTATAATTTCATAATTAATATACTGGCAGAATAAAAGGCATTTATTGCTTAATAACCCGATTTACCCATCTTTCTGTGATGTTTTATGGTATCTTTTCCTTAATTCTTTGACCAAAGTGTTTTGTGTTGCTTCTTAAAAAGTAGACATCCTGAAATTAAGATACATTTTCCAGATTGTCTTTCATTTCATCCACCTACTGACTTTCTGATAATAATCTAACTTTAATAATGGTGCAAAAGTTTGTTAGCTCTTTTGATCTAACTATTGAATTCTGTTTAATCTTTTAAAAATTTCCTAGATGGAATGAATGGCTAATGTATGATATGTACATTCCTGATCTTCCACGTGCTGCTCGACTTTGCCTTTCCATTTGTTCTGTTAAAGGCAGGAAAGGGGCAAAAGAGGTAAGGACTTAAAGAAAGAACGTGTTTACCTTGATAATCTTCATCACGCCCTGAGTGCATTTTCTTAATAGAAATTGTTGCATCACAGTGGCACAGTGAATAAAGAGCAGTGCTTGGAGCCTGGCATGTTTGGGTTTGAATCATAGTAGATCTAGGTTCAAATCTCATCTCAGATGTAATTTTTTAAACCACAAGAAAAATGCCACAGCCCTCAAACAAAATACCATGATGCTTTACATAGCCTTCGGAAGAAGAAAATCTACATATATTTCAGGATTCTGTTTAAGATAGGAAATATTTCCTGAAGTTCATTTATTAAAAATCGTATGAACCACCTAATCTATTCACCAAGTGACTAAATTGCTTTCTTATTTCTTTCATAATTACATCCCATATAAATAAAATTAAAGATTTAAATGGGAGAAAGCAAAGATATGCCAACACTTAAGCTTTAAAAAATAACATTGCTTCTTGTAAATACAAACATTTTACAATAAAACAATGTCATTGAGAGCCATTGGCTGAAAAAAATTTATTTTTGCAATGAAATGTGTCTATAAAGAGATAACTAAAGAATCTTCATTGTTTCTCTTCTTTCAAGGAACATTGCCCATTGGCTTGGGGAAATATCAACCTCTTTGATTATACAGACACTTTGGTATCGGGAAAAATGGCTTTGAATCTGTGGCCAGTACCTCATGGATTAGAAGATTTGCTGAATCCTATTGGAGTTACTGGGTCAAATCCCAATAAGGTCAGATGTTGCTTTCATGTTTATTTTAAAATCATTTCTCATTTTTGAAAAAAGATGAATAAAAATAAAAAAGATTTGCTAACTTATGGTAGTTAAGTGGACTATAAATGACAGTTCCTCTTTCCTCTCCTAGGAAACTCCATGTTTAGAGCTGGAATTTGACTGGTTTAGCAATCCCGTGAAGTTCCCAGATATGTCAGTGATTGAAGAACATGCTAATTGGACCGTGTCTCGAGAACTAGGATTTAACTATTCCCATGCTGGGCTGGTAAGACAAATTTACTTTTGAAAATCATGGAGCATTAGGTTTTTACAAAAATACATAACCATTAACTGGTGGACTTTCTGTCTATACATGAATTTTGTTATAGCAAGGGTTCCAAGTTTCACTAGGTCACCCTTATCAGATGACACTGAAGCAAGGAAGTATTTTTTATATGGCAAGTGTCCTTTTTATGTATTAACATGTTTTAATAGGAGGAAATGATAGAATTAAATTTTTTTTGTCACATCAACAATAATAAGTCATGGTTATATAGCAAGTAAGGTAGAGAGAGTATTTTCCTTACAATAACCCTGTGAGGTAGGTAGTACAGGGACTATGATTCCTATTTTACAGATTAGCCAACAGACACTCAGAGATGAAAACAAATTTCCAAGGAATATTGTATGTCCTAAGTGTTAGGACCGGATCTCAGATCCAAGTCTTCTGACCTCAGGACTAATGAGTACCCTCTCTTCTATGCCATGCTGCCATTACTATGTGTCTAGAAAACTTTTGGTCTTTCAGAAGCATTGCAATTCCTTTAGTCAGTGACAGCCCTGAAATTGATTAATGATGCATTTACGACATTTCTTAATAGTCTAGCCTTCCATGACATAACCTCTTAATTGTGGTTATTTTTATGATGTAGCTATTTATATCTTATTTCTTCCTACATCTGACTTACTATACTGATTACAGGTAGACATTTCCTTTTATCTAAAGTTTGCTAGTACATTCATTCTGACATGTGAGATAATATATAACACATAAAACTGCAGATATCTATATAATCTATAGTGGTATTATTAAGTTAGTGTTTTAGGTGGTCTAAAAACAGTCTTATTCTTAGTAATGTCTACAGTTTTTCCCATCGGTGTGTCTCTGTGACTGCAGAGGGAGAAGGAGATTGTGCAAGACTGAGGGCCAGTTTTAATTCTTTGTTTCTTGGATTCGAAGAATGTATCACTTAGTGGTCTACCTGCCTCTATTGGCCTCTCTGTACCCAGCTCAGGGTGTTGTTGTGAGCACCCTCAATCTCAGGCACTCTGGCATGTTAACTGTCATCAGAGCTTATGGTCATGTAGCATTGCCTTTAAGAGCTCAGGCTTCTCTGGGTCATGGGGTTGTGTGGTTGTGGGGTTGTGGGTTGTGGGTTTGTTGTCAAAGATTTGAGTTTCAATCCCTGCTCTACCACTTATTATTTGTGTGACTGTGGGCGAATCACTTCCCTTTCTTTGCTGGGCCCTCAGGTTCCTCATCTGTAAGATGACAAAATTAGACTGGACAGTCTTGGAAGTCCCCTCCAGCTCTAAATCTGTGACCCTCAGACCTATGGTCCCATCTTATTAATAATCAGCATTCACATAGCAGTTCAAAGCTTCCCACGTTGCTCTCTTCTAGCACCATTATTTACTATTATAGTCATGATTATAACAAGTGACCACCTTTGACCATTAGTAAAGGAAGTGAGCGTTGTATTTCATCACAACTGCCTCCTCCCTAAAACAAATAAGTATTTTTATACCTTGGTGATGGTAAGGAAAGTGAACAAATGACACTTAATCAAAACTCAGTCATTAACTTGTCACAAATTCATTTTAATTATGAGACTAGAAGAATGGATAGGTGCTAAGAGAAAAATTACGGGGTCAGATGGTTAGATGTCTCATCTTGGATATAACTGGAATTATAGCCCAACTGAGCACAAAGAGAGAGCCATTTGCTCGATGCTGTCTTCCAAGGCCAAGCGGACCAAGCTTCTCCCAGGAGGAAAATCTCTTTGTTCCCTTGTACTTCTGCTGATGTTTGGTACTAGTCCATGGGAAGGAAAGTCAGTAATCCTGCATGAGAGAACTCCTAAAAAAAGTTTCCCCAAACAATAGTGATATCAGGAGAGCAACACCTATAGGCACTTTGGGATATTGCAATTATGAACGGTATTATTCTGTATTTAACACCGAAAATACTACTGTAGCTATTAAAGTTAGACTATAAAGTAGTGATAACAGAAGCTCTTAGTAACTAGTAAATATGTACTTATCTAGCATGTAGTTGTCATGGATAATCAATTTCTCTGCATTAGCCATATTAAATTAATTTGGGTTCACATGACCAGAGAATATAAACTTAACATGTATTCACAGAATCCATTGTGTATAAATAAAGTTTCTTACTTTTGGGGAAAGAAGTAGTACTCAGAACCAAAAATTAGTTGAGTTAATTGGATTTGGATTTTGGCTATCAGAAATGGCATAGCATGCCTAGGCAAGCCAGTCTAGCTGAGCAAGAAAGCACCCTATGGGAGAAATAGTGGGCAGCGTATGCCTGGCAAGTCAGGCCATCACCACATCACTTTGACCACCATCTCACCTCAAACCCTGATGGTTACAACCCAGTCCCTGCAGCCATTGTTTAGGGGAGAAATCATTGGAGAAAAGAGGCCCACCTTCCTCATCACCATAGGCATACCACAATCAGACAGATGGGCCTGGAGATCATGGGATCTGGGGCAAGCACTCCAGCCTAACCAAAGTAGTGAGGTACCCTGAAGGAGAGACAAGCTACTCAAACCACCACCATCTCTCCTCAGACCCTGATAGAGACAGACCAGAACCCCAGACCCACAGTCCTGGAGAGCAACATTGCTTCCAGCCCAGTGCCCTCCTGGAAGCAACCCCTGTGGAGATGCAGCCTGGACCTGCTCCCACAGGTGCTGCTGAAAACCTAGAAAAGAAAATTTATGTTGCCAAAGTCCTTAACACTGTCCTGTGGTTCAGTATCAGAAAATGCTATGATTTTATCAGAAGAAATGCCATTAAAGAAGAGGCCTGAGCCTCTGCTCTGCTGCTGTACTCCAAGTACCAGCGGACCTTTCCATTTAACTTGAGGCTGACCATGCCCATTAGACTGCGAGCTCTGAGGGCAGGGACTGTCTGACTCTTCTAAATGTTTCCTAGGGCTTAACGAAGTTCTTAGCACACAGCAAGTGCTCAATCAATGCTCAGCTTGTCATGGTTGAAGGATCTTTGTTTCAAAATGAAAAGTAAGGGGCACCTAGGTGGTGCAGTGGATACAGCACTGACCCTGGAGTCAGGAGGACATGAGTTCAAATCCAACCTCAGACACTTGACATTTACTAGCTGTGTGACTCTGGGCAAGTCACTTAACCCCATTGCCAAGCAAAAAAAAAACAAAAAAACAAACAAATAAAATGAAAAGTAGTAAATGCCTAATTTCTAAGAAAATGCAGTTGGCTTTTTTACTTGACTTTTTATCATATGGCTTGCAGAATTTTACTAGTGTTCTTTGTTTTTTACATGTCTAAATAGTAGGTATTGCTACAAAATGACAGAATTTGAGAGTTGCGAAAGACCTCAGTAGCCACCTTGCCCACTCCTATATACAAAAAATGTAGAAAAAGTCCCAAGAATGCTTTGGAGTGGGCCTCTGCCCGAAGACCTTCAGGGCTTTCATTCATTTCTCTGCCAGTCTCCTACTAGGTTCTAATCGAATGGGAAGGGGCCACACTGGGAGCCAGAGAAATGAATTACCCATTGTTTATTTTTCCTATCCCTTGTTTAGGCCCTGTCATCCATTTAGTAGTAAATACAGAATTTCAGGTAATTTAGCCAGACTTACACCAAGAATTTGTTGGACGGTCCTAAATGGAAATTTGGCCTTTTCAGCTTGTCTCACATAGTCTTGCCATTCAGATAGTCCATGTTAATACTGTAACAGCATTGAACATCTCTTTATTAACTGTTAGTGTGTCTAACTCAAATGAATATAGAAAGAAATACTACAGGGGCATACTGTAACTAATGTGTTTCCTTGTTTTACAGAGTAATAGGATAGCTCGAGATAATGAATTAAGAGAAAATGATAAAGAACAACTCCGGGCAATTTGTACACGAGACCCTCTGTCTGAGATCACTGAGCAAGAAAAGGACTTTCTATGGAGTCACAGGTCAGGGTTAAAAGACACTTTCAAAATCTGGCTTGTTTTTGTAAAGCATAGTATTGATTTTAATTGACTATTATTTTACTACAGACCTTTCCATAAATCTGATCTATTGTAAGGGAAAATGTATTTCACAGAGTACACAGCTCAGAATTATAGTTGTTAGATCAGTAAGTGTTGTACTTCATTTAATTTTCTGGTTAGCTCTGAAAACCTTTTTGTTTCAACCCTGTTAAAAGCCTTTGTAAAATATGTCTTCTCTCTTTTATCTTAGTAAATTACATGATCAGGGTTGTCCTTCTGAATGTCAAGGTTCATCCTATAGGTAGCATCTATATAATAACACTTGATGATTTATAAGTCCTTGACTTCAGTTTTATTTTAACTTGATCCTCACAGTAGCCCCGGGAGGTAGGTAGTACAGATACTATTTCTTTTTCTGGGGATAGAACTGAGGCATGGTGCACATAGTAAGTATACTTCACCTTGTAAATTAGTTAGGAGAGAGAGAGAGAGAAGTGAGATCATGTCTTCTTCGACCTCTTGCTTCCTCCCTTCCCCATTCCAGGTAATTGATAGTTCCAACTCCGCTTACAACATTTGAAATTATCCTTGTTTCTTGTCCTTCTTCCACTCCCTGTCCTGGGATCTTTATTTCATTTTGAGTGGAATTTTAAATTAGTTAATTTCACTAATTGTTAGCAACTCTAATAAAAGGTTTATTGGATGAAGAAACTGAAATGAGTGACTAACTGGGATTGGGGCCCAGCTGTGGTTCCCAGGATTCTCTCCCTGGGCTTCATTCCTTAAAGTTAATGATGGAGAACTGATTATTGCTTTTACTTTTTTAAATAAAAAACTTACTTTCATTTCTCATTTTAAATCTCTCTCTTTTTTTTTTTAACTTAGGAGTTATACTTAGGTCTAGTTTTCAGTAATGAAAAAATGAGCTAATATAGTTTGAATGGTGCAAATTCTTGTATTTGAATAAAAGGTACTATCTGACATTTCTGCAAGGGTCTAGAGATGTTTGAGATTTTTTCTAATGGCTTCAATGAAACTACTGCTACATATTAAATCTGTTTTATGTAGCATAAGTGGACAAATGAATTTAAGACTGACACATTTAGAAAGCTTTTTGAGTCGTTCTGCCTTAACAGAAAAGGCAGTTTGTTATAATGGGTAGAGAGCCAGCCTCAAGGTCAGGAAAGCTGCCTCTGACACAGAATGGCTCATCATTTAACTTCACAGTATTCTAAGCAACTTTCTAAGACTCAAAGTTGCAGAGAAGGCACTGATTTATATTGGTAGAACGATATCACAGGCACAGTCCCTCTTCTCTCTTCTGGCCCAGATCTGTCTTTCCTCTTCATTTCCTCATTAGATTAGTGCCATTATAAGTTTCCTATTTATCTTTTCTTAAAATAAATTTTATTGATTTCTTCTTTTTCATATTGCCCATATTTCCCAGTTTATCCTTCTCCCCTATCCATTCCAGAGAGTTCCCCTTTATAACAAAGAGTAAAAAAGGGGGGGAGAGGAAGCAGTTCAGCAAAAATAATGTACATGTCAGAAAATCTGACATAAATGCAGTGTTCCACACCCATAGTCCCCCACCTCTGCAAAGAAGAATGAGGGAGGGGGAAAGTACCTTCGCACCGTTGTAGGGGGGCCAAGAATTAGGCATGAAAACTTCACATTTGGTTTTGAGTTTTTGGTATCATTTTGGTGTCTTTCTGTTTACATCATTGTTGTTGTGTGTGTTGTTTTCCTACTTCACTTCACCTCATAAGCCTTCCTACGTTCTATATTCAGCATATTCATCTTTTCTTAAAGTAAACTAAAATTTCATTCTATTCATAGACCACAGCTTGCCTAGCCACACCCCAGGTGATGGGTTTCTGCTTTGTTTCCACTTCTTTGCTTCTACAAAATTTACTACAAATGACTAAACATATTTGTGTATATAGGCCTTTATTTTTGTCATTGCTCTCTTTTTTCCTACTTATAATAGCTAGCATTTATATAGCACTTTAAGGCTTGAAAATTGCTTTATATATGTACTCTTATTTGCTCACAACAATCCTGGGAGGTGGGAGCTATTATTTCCATCACCATTTTACAGTTAAGGAAACTGAGATTGACAGAAGTTAAGTGACTTGCCCAAGGTCACACAGCTACTAAGTGTGTGAGGCAGTATTTGAACTCAGGTCTTCCTGACTTTGAGTCCAGCACTCTATCCTCTGTGCCCCGCATCTACTTATTTAAAAATTATAGTGATATCTATGAATTATTGATAATTAGCCAATGAAAACTTTTGAATAATGTGCAAACAAGGTAAATATATGTGTTTGATTTGCTTATTTGTTTATTTTTGCACAGGCATTATTGTGTCAATATACCAGAAATTCTACCTAAACTTCTTCTGTCTGTTAAGTGGAATTCTAGAGATGAAGTAGCCCAGGTAAATGTACACACACACACACACACACACACACACACACACACACACACACACATGCCATTATTGGAGAAATGGGTATGAAATGAGCATGTATCAATCGATGGATTTTATTTTTCTCTAGGCAATATATATATAATGTATGTAATCAGTGGTAAAAAAAAAAATCTCCTGGTAGGATTAACTGAGTATATAAAATGATTCTACTTCAGCTAATAAAATAAGTAGAAAAGTTTAAATTATATATTCATAGTATTTTTCTTAGTTAATTTCAGAACCTGGAAACCATTTGCATAAGCTTTGTTCTTAACTATGTGTATGTAAGATGTGTACACATATTTATATCTTTTCACATACAGATGTATTGCTTGGTAAAAGATTGGCCCCCAATCAAACCAGAACAGGCCATGGAACTTTTGGACTGTAATTATCCAGACCCTATGGTTCGAGCTTTTGCTGTTCGATGCTTGGAGAAATATTTAACTGATGACAAACTTTCTCAGTACTTAATTCAACTAGTTCAGGTATGCTCATGTATTTTATCAATTAAGATTTCACCCATAAAACATCATCTTGATTTAAATGTTTATAGTAAATGTTTTCTCCTAATAAAATATATAAAATCAAAAACTATAATATGTAACTAACCTGGTTATTCTTTCTAAAATGTGAAAATTCAAATCCATTGTATTAAAAACACAATAGCAACTTTCATTTTGAACATATTTTTTTCAAAATTTTAAGCATCTAAAAAATTTTCTCCAATTCCTGTAATGGTTTTTTTGTTCGTTAGGTTCTGAAGTATGAACAATATTTGGATAACCTGCTTGTGAGATTTTTACTCAAGAAAGCACTAACAAATCAAAGGATAGGACACTTTTTCTTTTGGCATTTAAAGTAAGTTACATTCCCCTCTCTCACCTGTCCAATTCTATAGTTGTATATGATGTTGTGGGCATGAGGTATTTATCAGTTATGATTTACTTCTCCCTTAGAGCATAGAATCAGTGAGCCTGTTTCTGGGTAGTTCTTATGGTTTGCTGGGATGGGGCAGGTGAGGATTTATGAGGGTTAGTAAGAAGGCACTGAAGGGACTTCCAAGGCCATCTGGACAAATGTGTACTTCTGACAAATCCAGTGAACATCCAGGGAAGGAGTGTGTTCTCTGAGTGTGGGGCAACTCTGTGAAGTGTGGTGGACAGAGAACCAAAATCTTCCCCTTTGCTTCTTTGACCCGTGGGTCTTAATTTTGCCTTCTAGAGCCCAGCAGACCAAGTTGAACTCCCTCTTCTCAATGCCATTTCTTTAAATATGTGGAAAATATCTATCATTTTCAGCCATTTATTCAACAAGCATTTATTTAGTTCTTACGATATATAGGGCAGCATAGTCTACTGAGTAGAAATGCCGGTCCACTGGTAAGGAAGATCTGGCTTTAACTCTTGCCTCTAGCACATCCTAGCTATGTGACCACGGGCAAGTGATTTATATCCTTACTGCCCCAGGCAGCTCTCTAGATAATAAGTTATGGATGAGTTGCAAGTGTCCATAGGTGAATGAAGTTTACACATGGAGAACACCCCCATCTCCTCCAAAGGTGGAAGACACTGTAAGAGATGCTATGGATACATGAATAAGACATGCCTGCCTTCATGGAGCTTAGAGTCTCTTGGGAGAATAGGATATGTAAACAGATAAATAAATGCAATATAATTTAAAGAGGAAGAGAGCATTAACAACCAAAGGTCAGGAATGGCTACCCAAAGGAGAGGTCCCCTGAGCTAAACCTTGAAAGAAGCTAAGGATTCTAAGAGGCTCAGGTAATTAGGTAATTAGCTTCTCCCCTACATTGCAAACATCCTAGCTCCCTTCATGTTATCTTTACAAAGCATGGGCCCCAGTCCCCCCACCATCCTGGTCACCCTCTTCTGAATTCACTCCAGTTTATCAGTGTCCTTTCTAAAAGGGGGTTTCCGTAAGTGAACACAGAATTGCAGGTGTATTCTGAACAGAGCAGAGCAGAATCAAGTGTTTGCTACCCTTGTTCTGGACCCTGTGCAGAATTCTTATTATGAAGCCGAGGTAAAAATTTGGCTTTTTGGCTGCCATGTCACCACTGTTAACTTAGATTGACTTGGTGATCCACTAAAACCCCAGGTCTTTTTCACAGGAACCCTCATCAAGCCATGACTTCTGGATTCACTATTTGTAGAGATAGTTTTTTTGAACTTCAGTGGTTAGAACTTTACACTGATCCCTAATCCATCTCGTCTCATTAGCTATGGCCCATCCTGATAGCCACCTGAGCTCTCCCAGCTGTGTGTGCTTGGCAGATATGGCAAATAATGTCTTCTGTAAGTTGATACAAACCATAGATAGAACTGTTAAGTCCCACACAGATCCCTGGAGCATCCACAGGAGCTATTAAACCCAACAAGTATCTACTGTCATGTGGAGGCACTGTGCTAGGTGCTAGAGATACAAAATCAGAAAACAGTCCTGGCCTTTAGGGGACTTGCATGATACTGGAGCCTACAAATGGGGAGACAGCTAAACAAATATGAGATAAAACCACTAGCCACCAGGGGTATCAGAAGAGGCTTCCAGCAGAGCAGATGGTGACCCCTGAATGAAGTCTTGCAGGAAGCTGGGGATTCTGAAAGACCAAGGCAAAAGGGGGATGTGTTCTAGGGTGGAGGACAGCCTCTGTGCAAAGGTATGAAGTCAGGGAGTTCATGGAGACCAACTGGGTCTAGAAAAGTAGGCTGAAGCCAGATCAGGAAGGACTTTAAATAATGAGCTGAAGAGTTTGTATTTTATCGTAGGGGCAATAGTGAACCTTGAATATTTTGAGCAGTGGAGTTGCATGGTTAGACCTGTGATATAGGGAGATTACTTTGGCTATTACGTGGAGGACAGATTGGACATGGCTATAAATCAAAGACAGAAGAACAGTTTGGCCATGCAATCTTCTCCTTATGTTCTCCCAAACCGCGACTGTCAGATTCTGCCTGGCATTCCTCTTCTTTTCTATCATGAACTCTTTATGAGAGTTATCACTCTCTAATAAGCTTCCCAGTATTTCTCTTTCTGGAGCCAGTTCCTTCCTATTGGTCAGAATCAGGTCTGGAGTATCAGCTCCTTTTGCAGCTGCTTTTATCCCTTGAAGGATTAATTGTCATTAAGGCAAGTCACAGATGGTACCAGCAGCTCTGCTTTTGTCAGAGAGGGAACTCCAGCAGACCACAGAGTGTTGATGGGAAGTCCTCTGTCCCTACGTGTTTCCATGACAGGTTTGTGATCTTGTTTCCCAAACTCGTCTGATTTCTCTTTCCATCCAGGTGGTCTGTGGTATGCTCCATAGCCATGTTGCTTCCTCCCTCCCCCATTGATGCCTTCCCAGATTTTCTCCTCAGTGTTTGCCCTTCAGGTTCCAGATGTTCATCATGAGCGTATTTTCCCATTTAGTTCTTTCTCCACTGTCTTTTATCTAGATTTTCCTTTTGATTAAAGAATGCCCTTCTCGAGCTTTCTTCCAAGTTTGAAGCCCTGCCGAGTCTTGGTGATGTCTGAAGTCAGGTTGCTTCTTTGCATTGATATCTCTAATTCATTCTATTTGTCGCCCACACTTTATGCGTTTGGATATAGAGATCCAAGGGTGTTGGTTTTAGGACCGGCTCTTTTCCTGGATTTCATCTCCTGTGGATTAGTGATTCATTCTTCTGCTGTTCTGCTTGTGTGGTGCCTTCTAATCTCTTATGATACCAGGATTGACAGATCTACAGGGATGGTTTTCTCTTTAAAGACATCTTGATCAGAACTATATGACTCTAAGGCAAATATCTTTTTAATGGCCCTTACTAGGTGTTCTCCTTTCCTGACCAAGAGCCAGCCTCATCTATTCAGACACAGTCCATACATAAAAATCCCATTCTCGGACACCACCTTTTTAGGCAACTGTTCTTTCTCTTCTTAATCTCCTACACTCCGTCAGCAGTGGGGATAAGAATACCAACTGTACCCGCTAAGGTCTTTGTCTAATCCAGGAATTCTTTATCTTTTTTTGTATGAAGGACCCCTTTGCCAGTCTGCTGAGGCCTGGGTACCTCTTCTCAGAGGAACATTTCTAAATAATTGAAGGAAATGCTAACTTGCAGTTAGAGATTAGTGAGCATAAAGGTGTGAATTTTTTCCCATCTAACTTTAGAGACTCCCTGAAGTCTATTCATGAACACTTATCAGGGTCCATAGACTTCAAGTGAAGAACCCCTAATCTAAAATTTTGTAATTCTTAGCAATGTTCCCTTGGTCCCTTCTGGTGATAACATTGGTCCACATCAACTTTACATACAAAGTTATATCATATCAGTAATCAGTAATCTCGCTATTTCTTTGAAATTGATTCAGCAGAACTATGTTACCTGCTAAGTAGTTACTGTGGCCCAGATTACACTGAACACGTTTCCAAGATTTAAAATATTGTGAGGAACTTTTAAATTTAATTTTAAGCAAAGTATCCAGGCTCATATTTGAACAGGTTTCACAGAGCTAGTAAGATTAAACTATTCAAAGGTTTTTCTTCATGTCATTTATACATGTTATTCATCTGAACAAGTTTGTTGGTGAAAAATTGAAATTTATTAGGGAAGAGGAAAAAGGGAACAGGTATTTGTCAAGTGCCAACTATGTGCCAGGCACTGTGCTAAGTGCTTTTAGAAATATTATCTCATTTGATCCTCACAACAACCCTGGGAGGTAAGTGCTGTCATTATCCCCATTTTACATTTGAGGGAATCGACATCGACAAAGTTAAGAACTTGCCCAGGGTCACACAACTAGGAAGCATCGGAGACTGGATTTGAACTCAGGCCTTCCTGGGTTTCTTTGAACTCCAAGCCCAGCACGCTCTCCATTGTGCCACCTAGCATCCTCAAGTAATAGATAATATTTTACTGGAGGTGGCATATGCAATAATAAGCGTAGCTGAGCTTCCATTTTATTTTTTTATCTAAAGACACTTTGTCTGATGTCTGATGTCTCACCCTCTCCAGTGAGTCACATCACTGCCCATCCATGCCTGCCCACCCTGACAAGTTTCATCATTATTTTGTTGAAATGAAATTAAAATCGACCTATTCTGGGTCATTTTAGAGCAGGGGGTAGTCATCTGCCAGAGGACTGTAATTGTCCTGCCAGAGCTCGTATTGCTCACATGCTCTCCGGCTGTCCTGCATCCCAGGCATTGTACTTGGGCTTCTGCCCCTCCCTCCTTATCTGTAAACTCCTGGAGGTCAGAGACCCCTTCGCTGTCTGAGCGTCTCCCCCTCTCCCTGGCACAGGGCTCTGTACACGGCAGGGGCTTCATGAACAGCTGAGCGTGCGAGTGAGCTCTTTGCTTCTTCCTCTTCTACTTCATTATGAATTCATCTGACTTTGGCCATCATTGACCATTCATCTCACAAACGAGTGGATGGCGATTAATTGGAAAAAGTACCTGATAGTAATATTAAGTAGTCATATAAAAGTCTTCATTTGTGAGTGATAGCTAAAGGTCTCGATTCCAGTTGGTCCACTCTTATCAGGCTTGTCCTCACCTCCAGATGTGGGGCGTAAGATTCGGTTGCTGCAACCTGGGGTCTGGACTGCAATGGGAAAGGGGGATCCTCAGCTCCCGGCAACAGCGAAGTCACAGGCTGAGCTTCCAGACCCTACCCCACCTGTTGTTTTAATAAGTATTTAAGTATCCATAGAAACAGAGTTCTTTCTGTAGTACGTACAAATGATACTCAGAATCAGGTATTTGGAACTATTTTTAAGTTTCAAAATGTCATTTTAGGTCTGAAATGCATAATAAAACTGTCAGCCAAAGATTTGGCTTGCTTTTGGAGTCGTACTGCCGAGCATGTGGGATGTATCTAAAACATTTGAATCGGCAGGTAGAGGCCATGGAGAAACTGATTAACCTCACCGACATTCTCAAACAGGAGAAGAAGGATGAGACACAAAAGGTAGGTCTTTCCTTATAGGTTCCCTCCCAGCCAGTAGATGTTGATGTCTCAGGCTTCTTTCCTTAGGTCAGCCTATTGTTGTAAAATCCTGTTTAGCCAATATTTCTGAAAATACCGAAGTAATGTTGTTTTCACAAAGTTTGCTGGGGAGCAAGTGAAGTTACTGACACGAGTACCTTGTACATGTTCACACTGTAAATTTGTGACAAAAATCTCGGCTCCTGGGTTCCTAGTTCCCTAGGGTGACATAGTCCACCAAGCCAGTTCTTAGAATAATGAGGAATATGAAATGGAACGCCAATGGTTTCCATTTTTCCTGCCCTCACACCTTTCTCTTTTAATTCTATCTGCCACATCCTCTAAAAGCAATGGCATTTTTATTGTATGGACTATAGAAAGGAATTTTCTTTAGTTTTGGAATTAAGTAATATAACTGTCTAGATTGTGACATGTGTGGAGATTGTCAGGCATCTTACTGTAATTGATTCTTCACCCCAAGGGCATGGGTAAAAGAGTGCAGTTTTCTTTATGGAGACAAAGCAGAGGCCAATGATGGACGCACAGATAGAGTACTTGGGCTCCTGAGTCACAGTCTGGGCTCTATTTATCTTTGTACCCTGCATGGGGTTTTTTACTTGTGGTTTGTTTTTGTTTTTTTTTGTTCTGTTTTTGTTTTTGGTTTTTTTTGTGGTAGATTTTAGACCAGTGTATAGAATACAAGTGAAAAATTTTCAAGTTTTTTAAAGTCCCCTGAGAATGATCCCAGTAATTCTGTTGGTACTACTTCTTACCACCCACCCACCCCAAAATAAGTAAATCTATAAAAGAAAATCACTGTGTTAACCTAAGGGACAACTTGGGTGTATGATTCATTCCTTGTGAAGTGATTATACTGTTACACTTAGGTATTAATTGAACAGCAGGAGAGACCCCGCTGCTTAGAAATAAAAAATGTATATTTAGATAACATTTTTTCCTTAAAGTAACTAAACTTAGATGTTAAAAAAAAACCCTGCATCAATCACTAAATGTATTTTAAATAAATTTGCATATTCTCTAAGTCTTGTTTGAAGTAGTGCTAAGTGATTTATAGTTCATACACTGGATCCTTCGTAAAATACAGAACCTAGTTAAGCTAGGTCTTTGCTGAATTCATACTGCCAATTCTCTGTTTTTTTTAAATTCTCAGGATCATCTCTGCCCGCTACAGGGAAAAGGGTAATACTATTGCCTGAAGAATCAAAAGGTTGTAGGCTAATGCACTGTGGCACGTCCAGATTCTTCTCCCATAGCCAGGAGCTAGTGCTGTGTCAGCAGGCGCAGGGCAGTATCCTTCTTCTAGCGCTCAGCCAGGTGCACCATAGTCCAGTGTCAGGGTCCAGTTCAAAGACTCTGGATTATGAAAGAGGAAGGATTGCTTTACTTTTCATGAAATCTATGCCACTGTAGTTCTTAGACATTGACTGTGATTATTATATCAGGTACAGATGAAGTTCTTGGTTGAGCAAATGAGACGGCCTGATTACATGGATGCTTTACAAGGCTTTATCTCTCCCCTTAACCCTGCTCATCAACTAGGAAATCTCAGGTATGGTGCTGTATCAAACCTTTATGAAGAAATTTAAGAGTCCATTCAGAACTGAGCAGGATGGCACAGCCCTGCAATCCTAGCTACCAGGGAAGTTGACTTGAGAATTCTGAGCTGCAGTGAGGGATGTCAGTTGTAGGTCTGCCTTCAGTTTGTGGCATCAGTCTGATGAGTCTCCAGGAGCAGGAGGCCACGAGGTTGCCCACGGAGGAATGAACTGGCCCAGGCAGGAAATGGAGCAGGTCAAAGTTCCTGTGCCAGTCAGAGGGGCATTGGCCCGTGAATAGCTCCTGCATTCCATCCTGGACAAGAGGAGAAGAGCTCATCATGAATAAATGAATGGATACATCAGCTCCATTCGTGATGTTCACATCACCTCTCTGATCTTCAATTTCACCATTTGTAAAAATGAAAATGATCATACTTGTACTAATTACCTCCAGGATTATTGTGCAGAAAACACTGTATAAACCTTTTAGAGTACTTAAGGAAATGTGAACTATTATTAGATAGAATACTTTAGAAAAAAATTAGATCTTTAAAAACAGAATTAGATAATGCTATGATTTGATTATTCTTCCCCCAACAAAATAGTAAGAACAAATAAATACAAGCCTAGCATATGCTATATTTAGTCAGAATCTGTGGGGTTTTTTTAAATAAATTTTATGAGATTGCTATGTCACAATGCTCAGTTAAAATTTAATTTGCTAGTTGGAAATTGCAAACACACTAATACTTAGTTATTTTCATTTCTCTAGAATACCTTAGAAATGTATCATATCCACAAAACGTAAAAGGAATTTTTTTTTTAAATTTAAAGGTATTGTTTCAAAGAGCCACACTTTGTAGATTAGTCTGACATGAAGGTGCCATATTTTATAAAAATTTTTAATCATTTTAAAGGCTTGAAGAGTGTCGCATTATGTCCTCTGCAAAAAGACCACTGTGGTTGAATTGGGAGAACCCAGACATCATGTCAGAGTTACTATTTCAGAACAATGAGATCATCTTTAAAAATGGGGATGGTAAGGAAAATATTAATGAACTTATAAAATTGATATATACCACTGTCTTTTTATATAAGGAGCTTAGGTACTACAAATAAAACTTTATTTCAAATTGTTTTTAAAATACCTCCATGAAGAAGTACACTGTGCTGGTCTAATATCTTGCCCATCTTGAGAAAAGATGTAAAAAAAAGCATGATATTTAAATGTGACAGGATTAACTTTATAACAACAACAACTATTGGATCAGTTTTTCCTATCATTACTGAAGTTCTGAAATGAGCACATATGCATGTAAACATACAAATTCAACTAAATATTTATTAACTTCAACTATTTTAGGTGATAAGTATATAAATATAGAGGTGACTACACTCTCAATGAATGTACAGTCTAATTCAGGGAAGAAAATATACACAAATAACCGTGTTACAAAGGAAAGTCAAAGGACTATGAGAAATGTGAGCAAAGAAAGATCATGTTCACTTGGAGGAGCGAGGGATGGAGCCATGGAGAAGGTTTCCTCATTCAGACCTTGAAGGATGGGACTGCAACAGATGGTGACTAGGGGGTGGGGGCGAATAGGAGGTCCATTCCAAGTATGAGAGGCCACATTCTCAGGGCCACAGAGACTAGAGACTAGATGAAAATCACTAAGGAGTCATGTGAAATCTAAACCAGCAAGCACTTAGTAAGAGCCTGCCTTCTGTGTTATTCTGTGTTGAAGACTGAGGGAAGTTCCCCCAAGGAGCTTACATTTGACTGGGGATAAACAACACGGATGTAAAGAAATACATATGTATACAGAGTAAATTCAAATTAACTTCAGGAGGGAAAGGGGAGCACTAACATCCGGGGAAGTCAGGAAAAGCTCTTTGTAGGAGGCAGCACTTGACCTGAATCTTGGAAGGAAGTTGGGGATTCTAGAACATAGAAGAAAGGAGGGAGAACGTTCTAAGCCCAGAGACAACTTGGGAAAGCACTCAAAGGGAGATGGAATGTGAAATGAAGGCTGTCAGCATCAGAAAGGTCAGTTTGACCTGACTGTAGAGTATAGGAAGGGGAAGTCATATGAAATCAGTGTGGAGAGAGAGGTTCCCATCTGGTTTTGAAGGACTTTAAATGCCAAAGCACAAGCTTCTGTTTTTATCCTAGAGACAACAGGGAACTCCTGAAGCTTCCTGAGCAAGGAATGACCCTGGTCAGACTTGTGCTTTAGTCAGTCAGTAAACACTTCTTAAGCACCTGCTATGTGCCAGACACTGGCCTAAGACCTGGGGATATAGTGAAAGGTATAAGAAAGCTCCTCCTTTCAGGAGCTCATAGGCAGATAGGAGAGACCGCCTCCAAATAAGCACGCACAAACACGCTGTGTGCAAGATGAATTGGAAGGAATCGGCAGAGGAAAGGGATCCAGCAAAGCTACCAGTAGCATTGCAGGCCTGGGAGACAGCCAGAGGCAATGCCCAGAGTAAGGATTGGGAGTGGCTTGTTTTAGGAACCTCAAGTAGGCCAGTGTCACTGGATCTCAGAGTCAGGGAACAGAGGGGGCAAGTATAAGGTATAAGACTGGCCAGGAACAAGGGAGGTTATGAAAGACTTTGAATCTCAAACAGAAGATTTTCTATTCAATCAGAGCCACTGGACTTTATTCACTAGGAGTCAGACCTGCGATTTAAGAAGATCATTTTGGCAGCTGAGTGAAGGATAGACTAGAGCAGCAAAAACTTAGTCAGGGAGACCAAACAGCAGTTGACAGTAGTCAAGGTGTGAGATGATGAGGGCTTGCACTAGGGTGGTGTTAGTGTCAGAGGAGAAAAGAGGGCATGTGTGAGAGATGTTACAGAGGTAAAATTGACAGGCCTTGGCAACAGATTGAATATGGAGGGTGAATGAAGAGTTGAGGATACCACCAAGGTAGCAAGGCTAGGGGACTGAAAGGATAATGGTGCTCTTGACAGCATTAGGGAAGTTGGGGGTGGGAGGTGGAGAAGGGGAAATTAACGTATTAAGTTTAAGGTGCCTGTTGGACAGCTAGTTTGAGATGTCCGATAGGCAATTGGAGAAACAAGACTGGAGGTCAGCAGAGATGTTAGGACTGGATAAGCAGATGTGAGAATCATCAACATAGAGTTGATAATTGTGTCCACAGGAGCTGATGAGCTCACCAAGAAATAGTATAGAGGGAAAAGAGAAGAGGACCCCAGCATGACCCGGATAGAAATCTAGCAAAGGAGACAGAGGAAGGGCAATCACGTAGGTAGGAGGAAAACTAGAAGAGAGTGATGTTACAAAAACCTGGGGAGATGAGATTGTCAAGCAGAAGAGGGTGATTGTCTGTGTCCAAGGCTGCAGAGATGTCAAGAAGGATGAGGACGGAGAAGAGGCTATTGGATTTGTCAACTAAGAGATCAATTGCAACGTCAAAGGGAGTGGTTTCAACTTAATAATGAGGTTGGAAGTCAGACTATAGAGACTTGAGAAGACAGTGAGAGCAAAGGAAATAGAAACACCTGTTATAGATGGCCTTCTCAGATGTAGCTACAGAAGCAAGGAGAGATTTGGAATGATAGCAGGGATGGATGGAGCAAGTGAAGGCTTTTTTGAGAATGGGGCAGACACGTGCATGTGTGCAGGCAGTAGCAAAGCAGCCGGTAGACAGAGAAATTGAAGTGAAGTGGGGCAGCTAGGAGGCGCAGTGGATAGAGCAGCAGCCCTGGAGTCAGGAGGACCTGAGTTTGAATGGGGCCTCAGACACTTGACACTAACTATGTGACCCTAGGCAAGTCACTTAACCCCAATTGCCTTGCCAAAAAAGAAAGAAAGAAATTGAAGGTAAGTGAGAGTGGACACTGATAATATAAATTTAAAGAATGAAAAATCCCTGCCCTTAAGCACTTTCTTTCAGAGGAGACAATGTGCATATGTGTGCATATGTTGATGCACATATATAAACTATGCCTATACATACATATATGTTTATGTATGTATATATAGAACAAATACAAAATATAAGCAAGGTAATTGGGAAGAGTTGATCCAGCATGGAAAAGCCATTTAAGACACTAGTCTAAGGGGATAGCAGTTTTCAGTGAAGGTTTTTAGGAATAGGAAAGATCTTGGCATATTTGTAATCAGCAAAAAAGGAACTAGTGGATAAAGAGAATATAGCTGGGCTAGAAAGTTGACTATATGGTGGGGGGATAGTATAAATAAGGCAGAACAAGTAGATTAGAGCAAGATTACAGTGGCCTTAGAGGGTTTGTCAAGAGTTCACACTTTGATTGTTAGTTATTGTGATGGGGAGAAGAGCTACTTGGAACTGCTCTGCTGGGTCAGGAGGAGTGACATGAGGGTCATAGGTTAGAAAGGTCATTTGGGCAGTTGTGTGGAGGATGGACAGGCTAGGAAAGCCTGTTAGAACCCTGGGCAGGCAAGAAATAAGAGCCCGAACCATTATGGTTGTAGTAGGACTGAAGAGGATAGGAAAAAGAGCCACATGTGCAAACTGTGGTCTATTGATTGAACTTAAGTTTCAGGGGAAATTCTAGAATGTATAACTAAAGAGATGGCAAATGTCTAGAAAGAGAAACTGATTACAAAGAGTCAGTTTGGTTTAGTCGAGAACAGGTCAGGCCAAACTAACTTCATTTCCTTTTTTGGCAGGATTACTAAGCTAGTAGAGGAGGGGGAATGCTGAGATTTTAGCAAAGCTTTGGATGCAGTAACTCACGCTATTCTTGTAAAGAAAATGGAAAAATGTGGTGTAGACAACAATACAACTAAACGTATGGATTCAGAACCTATTGGATGTCTGGGCTAAAAAGAGCCACTGTTAATGCTTCAGTGTCAGCATGCCAGAGGTCTCTAGCACTGTGCCCCAGGCTTCTAGATATGGCCCTCGGCTCTGTATCAGTGACTGGGATTAAAGAATATTCAGTTTATTCATCAAATTTGTAGTTGACACAAAACTGGGAGGGATAGCTAATACTTTAGATGATAGAGGCAGGATCCTAAAGGATATTGACAGGCTAGAGCACTGGACTGAATCTAGTGAGATAAATCAACGGGGATCATTGTTAAGTCTTTCACTTGGATACAAAAATAAATTAACTTCACAAGTATGAGATGAGGGTGAGGGAGAGGCATGGAAATGGATGGCAGTCATTCTGAAAAAGATCTAGGAATTTTAGTGGACTGCAAGCCCAAAATGAGTTAGTAGTGTGATATGGTAGCTAAAAAAGCTAATATGAACCCTCAAGAAAGGGTACAGCTTCCAAGGTTGGAGAAGTGATAGTGCCTTGTACTCTGTCTGCCCTTGTCAGACCTTGCCTCGTTCTGGGTATGACAATTAAAGAAGGGATATTGGTAATCTAGAGAGTGTCCAGAAAAGAGTGCCCAGTATGGTGAAGGGCCTAGACTTTGGACCTGTGACATATGAGAATGATTGAAGGAATGGGCACATTTAGCCTGAAGACGAGCTAACCCCAGGGTGCATGAGAGAGATCTTCCAGTAGTTATGGGCTATCAGGTAAAAGCCAGGAGACAGCAGTGCATTGGCAGGAGTTGCAAAGACGTAAATTTAAGGCTAATGTCAAGAATCACTGCTTGACAATTAGAATTGTCCCAAAAAGGAATGGGCCACCTCTCTGGGCAGTGACTTCCTCCTTATTGGAGGTCTTCAAGCAAAGGCTGGATGAGGACTCTTCTCATGGTGGGGACTCTTCTCATGTATAAGAATGGCCCCTGAGGTCCCTTCTGCCTTTGGAATTGTCTGATCCTGAGTGTTCAGAAATGTAGAACAACTGTGTAGGAGCTCACTGGTAAGGAAACCGAATGAGAAAGAGCATCTCATAATGGCAGGTCGTGTGTTGTTACAAGCAAAGAACGCTACAGACAATAACAGTTCTGGAGCTCTAGTCCCCCAGTGACAGTTTTCAGCTCATGGACTTTTTTCTTTATTTTTTGGTCTAGACATTTAATTTTAGCAGCTGAAAACTGTTACTAGGGGACTAGAGCCCCAGAACTGTGATTGTCTGCAGCATGGAAAACTTCCAATGTGGAAGTTCCTTCCCTTGATGTAGAACAGCAATTTTTCTGTAACCTAAGGTCTTGGAGAGTTGCCTGGGACACTGAGAGATTACACAGCAAGTATATGTCAGTGGCCAGACTTGCTCCCCCATGTGCCTATTTCAGGGCTGGCTGCGTGTCCACTATACTACACTGCCTCTCACACTTGTTGTACTTTAAGAATACTAACAACACAATTACTTATTGTTATGAGAAATCTTTTTGAGTGAATGCAGCTACATATATCTAGGATGTTACCTTTTTTGAATTTGTTAGAATCACATGGTACCCAGATTTCCATTATGATATTATGGAATAATACGTTGTATTTGGTTGTTTCAGACTTACGACAGGATATGCTAACCCTTCAGATCATTCGAATTATGGAAAATATCTGGCAAAATCAAGGTCTTGATCTTCGGTGAGTAATAGAGCTAATATAATGATTAATGGATTTCTTTTCTTATGTATGGAAAGTTGGCTTAGCCCAAGAAAGCCACTTAGTCATAATTAAATCAGTTGCTCTCCAATACTGAGGGTTGCAGTATATACAGACATATATATATATATATATATATATATGTTTTAAGCAACAGCTGAAATAGTTTACAGGAGTTGGTCAATTCCTTCATTCATTCCCTCTTTCCTTCCTTTGCATAGAACAAGAGAATGAAATTTGGCACAAGCTCTATCCAGTAAGAAGAGCAATCAGACTGTCAGAATTTTAAAAATTGCCTCTGGAGCTCCAGCATGAATAGCAGGGCATGCAAAGGGAGATAAAAGACACGTGTTTTAATACTCACTTTCAATCATTCTTGAAAAAGTTGTCATTTCTGTGCAGTAACTAGGAGTTTAAAGCAGAGAGAGATCATAATCTTCTTCAATGTACTTTTTAAACAACTCTAAACTGGAATGATAGACCATTCTTGCAGCAAAATTTTGGCACCAAATGCTGACCTCAGTTTCCCTGACCATTTAACCTCCTGGCAATGTTTTCCTTCTAAGCATCCCCCCCATCAATCCATCTCCCCATCTCCAGCACCTCTTTCTCTACTAGTCATCTGTAGCCACCATAAATCCTTAGTCATATAAAACACTAAGCATTTATTAAGCACCTTCTATACTCTAGGCACTATGCTAGTCTCCTGGGATACAAAGGCAAAAATAAAATAGTCCCTGCCCTTCAGGAACTTACAATCAATGGGGGATGAAAGGGAGTGGAGAACAACATGCACATGTGTATAAGTACGTACATACAAATAGAAGACCACCAGCACTTGGGAGGACTAGGGAAGGCTTCATGGAGAAGATGGCACTTGAGTTTAGAAGCAAAGGAGGGATTCTGAGGGTCAAAGGTGAAGAGGGAGAGTGGGAATGCCTGGAGGACAACAGTGCAAAGGCGTGGAGATGGGAGATGGAGCATAATGTATGTGAAGAACAGCAAGAAAGCTGATCTGGCTCGCTTACAAGGGGCAGGTGGAGAAAAGAGAAATGTGTGACAAAGTTGGCAAGGTAGCTTGGGCTTTGAAAAGCCAGGCAAGGGACTATAGAGTTGATCCTAAAAGCAGTAGGAGCCGCAGGAGTGGATGTATGAGAGAGATATGGTGGATTGGAGCATGGGGCAAGACTGGAGGCAGGGAGGCCAATTAAATTATTGCAGTAGACCAGGGGAGAGGTGATGAGGCTTGAACTAGAATGTGGCCATATGAACAGATCGAAAGATACAGCTGCAGGAGAAGTGTGGAGGCAGACATGACGAGGTGTGGCACCTGACTGCACGTGTGGGGTGAGTGAGCATGAAGAACTGAGGATAAAGCTGGGCTTGTGAACCTGGGAGACTGGGAGGCTGGTGGTATCCTTGACAGCAACAGAAGGAGTCAAAGTGGGAAGGGTTTGCAGGGAAAGAGAATGAGAGGAAAGCCTCTCATTTTCTTTGGATGACTTACCTCTCATTTTAGTTTTTCATTCACTGGTTCCCTGCTAAGGCCTCTTCATGGTCTGGAGACGTAAGTGGGCTTGTCAAAGGCTACATGTGGACAGCACAGGCTTGGGATGGCCCCCATGAGCCAGAGGGCTTCCCAGTGAATGCTTGACAACAACAAACTCGGTGTATTTCAGGTTCAGAAGGGCCCATCACCAGCAGATGCACATACAAAGCCATGATTTTTTTTTTTTTTACCACTGCAATACATTTTTTAAAAAATGTTTTTCAGGGAGCAAAAAATATTCTCTTCCTCCCACTTTCAATAGAAAAAGAAAAAAAAGAAAAGAAAACCAAATCCTTATTGACAAATATGCAGACAAGTAAAACGAATTCTCACATTGGCCATATCCAGAAATTCTCATTTCAGACTGTGCCCTGAATCCATCACCTCTCTGTGAGGAGGTGGGAAGCATTTTTCATCGTGGTCCCTCTGGAACCAGTCATAGCATTGATCAGCCTTTTTAAGTCTTTCAAAGTTGTTTGTTTTTACAATATTGTTGTTATTATATAAATGTCCTCCTGGTTCTGCTCACTTCCCTCTGTATCAGTTCATCCTAGTTTTCCCAGGCTTCTCTGAAAATATCCCTTCCTCATTTCTCATAGCGCAATAGTATTCCTTTACATTCATGTGCTCTGATATGTTCAGCCATTCCCCAGTTGATGGACTCCCTCCTTCCCCAGTTTGCAGCTCTTTGCCAGCACACAAAGAGCTGTTGTAAATATTTTTACATATATGGGTCATTTTCCTCTTTGCTCTCTTTGGGGCCTAGGCCTAGTAGTGCTGTCGATGGGCTAAAGAGTAGGCAGAGTTTAGTCACTTTGGGGGCAGAGTTCTAAATTGTGTTCCAGAATGGCTGGAACAGTTCATGGCTCCATCAACAGTACTTTAATGTTCTCATTTTTCCATAGCCACCGAAACAATTGTCATTTTTCTTTTGTCATCTTTGCCAGTCAATCCAGTGGGTATTGAGTGGAACTTCAGCGTTATTTAAGTTTGATGTTTTGTTGTTGTTCAGTTGTTTCAGTCGTGTCTGACTCTTCATGACCCTTTTTGGGGTTTTCTTGGCAAAGATACTAGAGTGGTTTACCATTTCCTTCTCCAGCTCATTTTACAGATGAGGAAACTGAGGCAGACAGGATTAAGAGACTTGTCCAATGTCACACAACTTGGGTCTGAGGCCAGATTTGAACTGAGGTCCTCCTGACTCCAGTCATGGCATTCTATCCACTATGCCACCTAACTGCCCTTGTTTTAATTTTAGTTTGCATTTCTGTAATTAGTGAGTTGGAGCATTTTACATGACTTTTGAATAGCTTGGATTTCTTCCTTAGAAAACTGCCTATTCTTATCCTTTGACCATTTATGAATTGGGGAATGTCTCTAATTTTTGTAAATTTGAATCAGTTGGTTTTATATCTTAGAAATGAAACTCTGATCAGAGAAACTTGCTACAAAGATTTTTTTTCCCACACTTACGTATTTCCCTTCTAATTTTAGCTGAATTCATTTTGTTTGAACCATAGCAGTATATTAAACAGCCTACCAAGACATGGAGTTGTAATCTGTGTTACTGGAGGGAGTACTGACTGGTTAATTTTAGCTCCTTGAAAGTAACAAATTATGTGTTTTTTTTTTAACAGACAACCCAAATCCAATTCAACTTAACTAGTACTCTTTTCCCCCCCAGTTTTTAAGCATTTTTATTTAAAGTTTTGAGTTCCAAATTCTGTCCCTCCCTTCCCTTCAAGCTTCCCCCTCCCTGAGGTGGATTCTTTTAAAACACTGCATGATGTGGTTTACCTTTTGTAGCAACCACCCTGGATTTCCTTTGAGGCAGTAGCAGTTCTTGCTCTCTCTGAAAGCAGCTTCGTCCCTGTACAGGCTTTCCAGCCTCACCTCAAATACCCAAAGAGAAGAAAAAAACACTCATTGGACTGAGGGCGGCAAGCAAAACAGACGAGTCAGTATTTACATGCCGCGTCACTGCGTCAGTAACTCATATCAGTTCCTGAGAAACGATAGCAGTCTTATTTTGCAAGTAAAGAAGGGGAAAGAGAGAACAAATGACTCTCCACAGCGTTAATTGAATTGACAAAGATAGAAAGGGGACTCTGAAATTATGGACTTGGCATTCTCTGCCTTTTTGCCTTTTCAAGGATTGTTGAGGTTATTGAAATAATTTGAGGAGAAGAAAGGTAAGAAACTAGCTCATTAGATTAAATTCATAGTCATCTTCAAATTGGAATCATTAACATTTGATGGAACATTAGCAAATATTTGAAATAATTTTAATGTCTGTAAAGTGCTTTGTAAACCTGACAAGTATTACGTACTCTAAGTATGAGCCAGCATTACCATCAGAGCATAGGCCAAATACAGAGCCCTGAAGTGAGAGAGAGTTGCAGAACCACTGGGAAGCTTAGTGCCAAGTTGGACCAAAAGTCATAAAGGTCAACTTCAGAAGCTGTGTTTTGGCTTATTCTGGACCAGTGCTTGTTTAAGATGCATTGGTAGCATTTACGCTGTCGTGCTTGCTTTTCTCATATCTAATACTGGAGCCTTAGTTCCAGAATTCCTTAGTCTTTGTTACTTGCTTCACTTAATGCTCTGTCAGGTCACTTAATCTTTGATTCATTCTTCTGCCTTAAAATTTCACAATGTCGAAACCAAGCCAATTTAGTCACAAAAAATCTCTACAGCCTCTAACCAAAATTGATGGTGCTATGTAAAAAGTACCAAATTACAACTCTCTAGGTGTCTGCTTTTTAAGGCTTTAAACATTATCTGAAGGTTATATGTATGTATGTGTAGATTCAAATACAAACATCCAAAAAATTCTGCCTCTTCCTAGCTTGGGAAAGGTGAAAGTGTAGACCTTTGCGGCAGAACAACCTCCACACGGACTTGAATGAAATTGCAGATGTGGTTATTACCAACATTCTTCTATTTTTTTTGGTTGTTGTTGTTGTGAGCATAAATCAATTTGTTTGATAAACCAAGACCTTCAGCTAATTCTGCATGGACAAAAATGTTCATAACATTACTTAGGATAACAAAAAAAACTGGAGCGGCAGCTAGGTGGCGAAGTGGATAGAGCACCGGCCCTGAAGTCAGGAGGACCTGAGTTCAAATGCGGCCTCAGACCAAACACTTGACACTTACTAGCTGTGTGACCCCGGGCAAGTCACTTAACCCCAATTGCCTAAAAAAAAAACAAAAAAAAACAAAACTAGAAACACAACATATACCCAGTGATTGGAAAATGACTAGATAAATGTTGACATGTGAATATGAAGGGATATTGCACCAAAAGGAATGATGAGTGGGAAGAATCCACAGAAACCTGGGAAGGCTTGTGTGAAGGATGCAGAGCCAAAAAGCAATATCCACGCTGATGGCAGTCGTGCGTCAAAGTAAAAAGCCTCGACCCTGCTTTCTGTTAACAGGCAATGAAGGGTTTCAGGGAGTGTGCTCTGGAAGGGGCTGCAAGTGTTTGGCAAGTGTCTGTTGGGTCAAAACAAAATGTGTGAATACCTTTTTTAAAAGATTATTAAAGTTTGTTGGAATTGTACAAAAATGAGCCGAGGTATCGGTACCATCCTTCGATCAGCTATGCTCACTGTAGTGCTGCTGTATATTCCAAAATGAGGTGGCATTTATTTGGGGATGATTCCTACAAGCTGATGTAGTTTATGTGAAAGCCCTCTTAAAAAGTCAACGTCATCAGAAGGGGTAATATTCCTGACTCTGCTTCCATGCATTAGTTGAATAGTCAAAAGTGAATCAGGTTTCATTTCAATTTATAATTTTATACATTTGAAAAAAAAATGGAATTAGCCTACATTTTTATAGGAAAAGTAGATCTGACTGTATCATTCCTCTGACCTGCAGTGCCTACCTACTGCTTACAGATGCTTCTTAGCTGTGTGGTCCCAGCACCTCATGGCTTCAGTTTCCAAATGTGTAAAATGGGGATAGCATGTCCCTCAAAAGGTTGTTGTGAGGACCACATGCGATGTCTGGAAAAGACTGCAAATCTTAAGGCAACACATGAAGAGTATATATCATTATTTACTGAAAGACTTTACCAATGTTTAGCATCTGGCTTCACCCTACTGTCAGATACTTGAGGGGCTGTTCTGTGGAGAAAGGATCAGATTTGCTCTGTTTGGCCCCCGAGGGCAGAATGAGGAGCAGGGATGAAGTGGCAGAGGCCGATTGTGGTTTCATGTCAGGAAAAGCTTCATTACCACCAGAGCTGTCCTACCGTGCAGCGGGTCCTCCCTCAGTGCAAGGCTTCAAGCAAAAGCTGGGGCATCATGTGTGTAGTGGGGAGTCTTTTCTCAGCTCTGGGTTTTCTAGATGAATACTGAGCTTCCTCCCAGTTCTAAAATTGTGGTTTGTTAATGCCTTTTCAGATGTATTGCACACGCTACACTTTATGCATTGTGCTATGCACACACTGCTACAATTATTCCCAGACCTTAGCTTGCATTCTCACCTCCCTTCATTTGTACAGGCTTCCTGTCCCCGGAATGCCTCCTTCTCATTTCCACCTGCCCAAAACATCTTCCTTTGGGGCTCCAGGGCCACTTCTCTACAAAGCCTTCAGCTCAAAACAGTCTCTCCCTCCAGTTTTCCTGGTGCATTCTATGTCGATCCCTTCTTCTCTGCTCCTTTTGTCATGCTCATTTGTGCACATTTTCTGTCTCCTGCTACCCCATTACACTGTGAACTCCTCAGAGATTAGGACATTCGTCTTTCATCTTGGTGTCATAGAATAGGCACCTAATAAACATTGATTGGATTGGACCAACTACAGACACCAACTGGCCCTTTTGCCCTGAAGAACCTCGCAACTTCCCATGAAGCTTTATTTCATTGGTGTTTTTAGGGGTATTCCTTTAAGTTTATATTTATATAACCAAGTGATCTCTTTAAACAGCTCACAGGTTCATGGTTTTATGTTTTTTATTTAAGGTGTTCAAAAGTACCTCTGACTGCAATCATTTTTTTCACAGTTATTCTTTTATGGCCCAAGATCCACAAGTTCACTACCGGTGGTAGTTGCAGTACTTCCATGCCTTCTGGGAGACTATATACAAAGTGACTTGGGCAGAAAAAATCACTATCTGGTTACCAGCCTTGTGCTGAAGAGTCCTTTCTGAGCTTGCCCAGGCTGGTTGTGATAGCAGTCGAGTTATGGGGGCCTGGATCCATAGCCTTTCCAATATGGTAACACCTACCCAGGCATGCCCTCTGCTGGCCTAACATCCCAAACATAGAGCTACTTCCACATTGCTGTGGTGTATCAGTCAGATGAGGAATAAGGCATTCCAGCAGTCCATGGATGGCAAAGAACTAAAATGACTACTCCTATTTCCATAACATGTTGTGGTTCATAATGGCTTTTCTTGTAACTTCCCTATGAGGGAGAGAGGGGAATGGGCTATCCTGTGAATTGTGAGAGGCCATCATTCTTGGGAATATTGCCAATTATGCTACAATCAAAGGCCAATTAAAATACAGTTTTTAGCAGTGCCCAGAGAGTTAAGGCAGGAGTAAGTAACAAAGTAAAAGCACTGGAGTTTAAACCCCAGCTCACCTGCCTTGTGACCCTGGCCCAGTCACTACACTCTAAAGCTTCACCTTCATTACCTAGAAAGCCCCTGCCTGATGTTGGAGGCTGGGAGAGAGAAATGTGTTTTTACAAGTCTTCATATGCTATATAAATGCAGTGTTCATATATTGTATTGCTAAGTAGTTTGGGTTTTTTAATTCCTCCAGTTGCCTATAAATTAGTTGATGGTTTTTTACAGGATGCTACCTTATGGTTGTCTATCGATTGGGGACTGTGTTGGCCTCATTGAGGTGGTCAGAAATTCTCACACTATCATGCAGATTCAGTGTAAAGGTGGCCTGAAAGGGGCCTTGCAGTTCAACAGCCATACGTTACATCAGTGGCTCAAAGACAAGAATAAAGGAGAGATGTGAGTTGATTTCATCCTATTTCATGTTATCTAGTTCCTCACTATTTGACCTTTGATAGGTCTGTATGTTGTTTCCATGGGGGATTTAAGTAAAAGGTCATTTAATACCTTGGTTGTAAAAGGAGAAATGAAGTGACTCTTAGATGCATGCTCAATGAAGTCTTTACATTCTAAAAAGAATCAAGTTTTTTGTGTATGTTTGAAAATTTGTTATTATAAACATATTTCTTATGTTTAGTCTAAATTTCTTTGCTAATAGATTGACTTTTTAAATAGGATTCCTCAAAATTCAATTAGTTAACAAGGAAAGGTGCAGGCAACTTCCAATATATTGATGCTAATGAACCTAAAGGGCCTGAAGTGCTACAGTTCAGGTGGAATCTTTGCATCTTTGTGCCTAAAGAAGGTTTTTGCTATCAAAACATACTCTTTCAGTTCGTATACTTGTTTTCTTCACTTTTTTGTGATGAACAAGTTTGTTTAAAGAGACAGTTTGAGTATTAGTGACTTGAAAAACAATGCATCACCAGCCCTTTATCGTAAGCTTTCTCTATATAGTCTTACTAGATGACTTCCAAACCTTTGAGTCATCCTCATCAGAATCTCAAAATTGCTTGAAAAAGCAAGTCAAAAAGGAGTGGACTCCAGGGAGGTTGCCCGTTTTCCACATCTAGTGTCAATAGCTGTGTACCTAATTAAAATGGAATGTGTTGCTGTCTGTCCTGATTGAACAGCAAAGTGAGCCCCATTGTACTTGCTACTAAAGAACTATTCTATTTGTTCTTATAGATATGATGCAGCCATTGATTTGTTTACACGTTCGTGTGCTGGATACTGCGTGGCGACCTTCATTTTGGGAATTGGTGATCGCCACAATAGCAATATCATGGTGAAAGATGATGGACAAGTAATGAGCTTCCTTTTTTAAAAATCTTTTGACATTGAACCTTTCACAAATTGGATACATCTACACATGCTTCCATGGGCCAAAAATGTAATATGATTTCTCCTTTTTTTTAAAGCTATTTCACATAGACTTTGGACACTTTTTGGATCACAAGAAAAAGAAATTTGGTTATAAACGAGAGCGTGTGCCCTTCGTCTTGACGCAAGATTTCTTAATTGTGATTAGTAAAGGAGCCCAAGAATGCACAAAGACAAGAGAATTTGAGAGGTATGCTTCAAATTCAGGTAGTTATCGGGCACAGTTTTACATGATGAGCTCATTAGAGAGGGGTAGAATAGAGCATTGTGACATGGAAGCATGAAAGTGCTGAGCTGACGCAGTCCTGTTAGATGGTGATTCCAGCTCCTTAGAGGGGCCACTGTGACTGCTGAAAGAAAGTTCACATCCCATGGACCATTCTGGCCCCAGCTGATAGGCTTTCCTTATAGGAGCTTTAGGCACCATACAGTTAGTGCGGCCTCCTCATTTTACAGAAGAGGGAATTGAGGCACAGAAAGTTCATGTGACTTCCCAAGGACACATAGATAGGTAGGAGCTAATAAATGAAGGAAAGGGAATAAGCATGTATTAAACTCCTACTGTGCTCATTGTTTTACAAATAGTATCTCTTTTGATCCTCAAAACAACACTGGGAGGTCAGTGCATTTATTATTCTCATTTTACTGTTAAGGAAACTGAGGCAGGCAGAAGTTAAGTAACTTGCCCAGGGTCACACAGCTAGTAAGTGTCAGAGGCTGGATTTGAACTCAGGTCTTCTTGACTCCAGATCTGGCACTCTATCAACTATGGCGCCACCCTACTGAAAGCTGAAATAAGGTTCTCTGACTGCAAATTCATTTTCCACTGCTCTCCATGGTAGATTAATTCCAACTTATCAAAAGGTAACTAAATTTGCAGCTAAAGTGAGAAATTAATACCATTTACTCCGTGGCGATCTAACTGTAATTTTCTATTTACAGATTTCAGGAAATGTGCTATAAGGCTTACTTAGCTATTCGGCAACATGCCAATCTCTTCATCAATCTTTTCTCTATGATGCTTGGCTCTGGAATGCCTGAACTGCAGTCTTTTGATGATATCGCATATATTCGAAAGACCCTGGCCTTGGATAAGACTGAGCAGGAGGCTTTGGAGTATTTCATGAAGCAAATGAATGATGCTCACCATGGTGGCTGGACAACCAAAATGGACTGGATTTTCCATACAATCAAGCAGCACGCTTTGAACTGAAGCAGGAGCCTCAGGGCTGCTCCACACTGCTCTCACTGTCAGCAGGCCAAGGCTGCTCGTGTAGGAATCGCACAAACCATGAACAGCATTAGGATCGACAGCAAGAACCGAGATTAGCTCTTTCTTCTACCATTGAAACAACGTCAACACAAACAGGGTTTGATAGCACTAAACTAGTACATTTCAGAATTAAGCTTTAGTCTAATGCGCAATTTCATGTTATGCCTTAAGTCCAAAAAGGTAAACTTCGAAGATTGTTTGTATCATTTTTTTAAAAAAACAAAGGAAAATATATAGAAACTGGTGGTTAAGGAGAGAGAATAATGTTCTTTTTGTTTTGCAAATGTTGTATGTTTTGAAACACGAAAGCGACAAAGTCTGTCATAACTTCAAGTCCAAGGAAACCAGAGAGTGGTGTTGAGCTGCATGAGAATTGCTAAGAATGAAAATCCATCACTTTTCCATTGTAGTCAATTTATAGTTTGAAGTGAGTTTTTTGACTCCCAGTTCTCATGAAGAAAAACACTTGGGGTGGAACAGAATCTTTAAATTTCATTAGGGACTTTTTCCTTTTTAAAAAATCAAACCTTTTGATGACTTTGGGCCTTATCTGCATAGTTTGGGGAGCAAGTAGAAATGAGACCTTTTAGAAGGTGCTTTTCCTGGACAAGCATTTACAAGGATTCAATTGTTCATTTCCCAGGGAAATTCTGAGCTCCTATGGAAAATAAACTGCCATAGAAAAGGAATGAGAAGGACTAGCTGTCATGTACCAAAATCGTGCAGTGTTCACCTTAGGTTTGACATTTTCCCCACTTTTTGCAATTGAACTGAATACATTTTTCATGCATGTTTTCCAGAACCTAGAAGAAAGTATTAATGTTATTAAAAGATTATTTTTTATAAAAGGCTATTTATATTATAAAAACTATCATTAATATATACTCTTTATTTAGATTATCTGTCCCATAGTCATGCATTTATTTTACAGCCTCAAATATTTTGGTATAAGATTCAGTCATCCGTAGTGACATAATCAGTCATTCTCTTGGTCTTTGAGAGAAGCCCAGGCACCCTTCCATAATGTACACCGTTGCCCAGGGATACACCGTTAAAGTTGGCGAAATATCCTGCTCAGGACCATCTCTTTCCTACTTTTCACTTTTATCCTACTCTTTCTCTCCTACCAAAAGAAATGCAATCAGTTTAAATCAGCTCAGTCAAATCCAGATTCTTGTCCTGTTGGCATTAACCTTCTCCTAAAGTAGAAGCACTTATAAAGAAAGGATCCTTCCAAGCAGCAGGGAAAAAGAAGCCAGGACCGTTGTCTCTTTGCAGGCTCTCTGCCTATATCTCCTTGTAAATGGAACCCAAGGTGATTAAAATTGGTTCCCACTTGAATGTGGCCATAGGCCATTTTCCAAGTTTCTTAAGTTGCACTTAATCCCAGGATAAATTCATAAACATTTGGAAGAAGTGATTCACCCCCTTTTTTTGGTTGGGAGTTGCAAGAGAAGGGGTTAGGTTGTGAGGACGCTATCCTCACTATAGACCTAGCATTCCACATGGTATTTGGAGTAAATGCCCACGGACCTAGGAAACAGCTTCCGCAGATGTCTTTGTGCCACAGGGGAAAAAAAAAGTGCAATAATGAAGAGGGGCTGGCAAGTGTCTAGATTAGGCATGATATTGGAATATAACTATAAAAACTGTACATTATGTTCTCTGTCTTGGTAATGAGCTATTGAATGGTTTACTTCATTTAGAAAAAGTTCTTTAATGAAATTAGTTACTTACCCTACAGCCTTGGATCAAGCAAACCAGGGCCTGTAATGCCAAGATTCCTAAAACCTATTTGGCTATTTTAGGACGCATATGGATATAGGGTCCCTAGAGTTAGTTGTTGAAGACTTAGGTACTTTATTAAAGCATGTAAATAATACTGTCTTAGTGAAAGCCACTGAGAAAAATAAATTTGGAGTATTGGGATATTCATTTTTCATATTTATAATTGACTGTCTCAGAACAATTCAACAGATTTTAAACCTTTTGTTGTTAAGTCTTTGGTAACTGTTCTCCTTTGCAGTTATGAAAGCTTTCATAGCTAACAGATTCCATCTTCTCATTTGACACATAACCATGATGTGTCTTTACTAATTGGCACTTGACACATGCTGCATTTTCCTTTTTTCATTATCAGGGATTGATTGTGGAAAACTCTGTGAAATAGTAAACATCTGAAACCCTGATCAGGTTCCTTAAAGTTATAACAGAGAATGATGTTTTTACCCAGATGTCCCTAAAGCAGTATTTTATGAGTCTCCTTGCACAGAAACAAAATATTTGCATTGCCCACATCAGTACAGATCACTTTCTAGGGCCCTGGTGAAAATTTGTGCATGAATTACTGCGGCTAAATTAATTTAGTTTCAATTTATCTGAACTGTGTAGAAGAATTCAGGAAAAAAAAAGAAAAAAAAAACAGGAGCCAAACTAAGTGACCTGAAAACAAGCTGAATTGTAAACAGATCAAAGCAGAATAGAGCTTAGGAAAAGAAAAGCTGAAAAAGAGAAAGGAGAAAAGGAGGATTCCAAAAGGACGAGCCATTGCAGTTTGAAGTAAGCTAATCGTCAGATGATTCCAATTGATTTCAGGTCAGAAGTCATGTAACAGGCTCTAAAATTACTTAACTGTTGGGATTGCCTCAATTCCCAAAACCACCTCTCTGAACCGTTGTAACTGTCAACTTCCAGTATCATTGGCTCTCCCAGGAAATATTTTCTTGCCTAATCATTTGGAGAAAGAGAAATGGAGCACATTTTTGAAGAGCAGAAGCCCTAACATTTAATACATCCCAGAAAGAAATCCAAAAACCTGCTTGACCTTTCAGCATAGTCTCTTCCTAAAGGGACACACCCATTTGGAAGGCTGTGAAATGTGTCTCTAAATCAGAGAGAAGATTTTATTTGACGTTTTACCGTAGAGCTTGTTTCTCTTGGTTCTTAAGTGTCACCTGTAAAATTGTGTCAAAAATAATCAATTCTGAGATTTGTCCCATAATCAATTTGTGTTTATAAGCCCATTAAGAAAATGGGGACTGGTGAATATGTAATGATTTGTAAAATATTTTAATGTAATTTTTTCAACTGTGAAACTGACTATTGGTTTTTTGATGAAAACAGGCTGCTGATAAAAGTATTTTTCTGTAAAGTGTAGTCTTTCCTAAATGAGAATACGATGTATTGATTAGAGTGTGTGTACACTCTTGGGGTTTTTTTTCCATTTTCCTTTTTTAAAGTGTATTGCTAGGTTTTCTTAAAGGTAAACCAGACTGGCTGTATAAGTTTTTTTTTTTGTAACTGAAAATTGAGTGGTTTGGGATCTTGTAGAAAAAATTCAAGGCATCTACATATTTCAAAGGCACCACAGCAATTTCACAGCTTGTTAGATAAGTTTGTATTTGATTAACCCCTAATGTTTTATTTTTTTTTTCTCATCTCAATAATTTTGTAAATCCATTTTAATCCTATCACGGTCAATAACTCATGCTTGCTAACTCTTTGAAGACATTTCCTTTGCTTCATTATTCTGTAGCCAGCATGTCAATGTCAGCTTTGAGCAACTGTAATGTTCCTTATATTTTCCTGTCTGTACAGGCTACAGACCTGGGCTGGACCCATTCACCATCTGAAAAGTTCCCTTTAAGTAATGATACTATGATGCCTAAGACATCCCCAAAGTACTTCAATTTAAAGAAACTAATATGGTGTTAGTGAAGTTTTATTTGCCCCTTCTACTCTCTACACACAACTTTCTTATTTCTGAGTTTTTTTTTTACTCAAATAGATAAACAATCACTTTTTATACCACTCCTGTCACATGCACACCCTCTTTTACACAGAGTGCCAAAAGCTGTTAGAATATGTGGTCCGTGTAGTGACTGTCCTCCCTTGCTGTCGAGGCTGTCTGTTTTTATATGATTCCATCTATCCAAGTAGCCTGCCAGTCCATTTTGAATAAGTTGCTAACAGCAATAGCTTCAATTCTAATTTCTAACTCTATGGTAATCAATTACTCATTCTGTCCTTTGTCCAAGAACTTTGAACGGTACTCGAGATGACCAACCACCTGAAAGGAAACCTGAGCTGCAAAAAGACTAGTATCACTAGATTGTTTTTGTGTTTTTTTTGGTTTTGTTTTGTTTTTATTAATTTATTTTGATTTATCAATAATCAGTTCCATATGCTTTTGAGTTTAAAATTTTTCTCCCCCTTCTTCCCACCACCCTCCCCAAGACAGCACACAATCTGATATAGGCTATACATTTACATTCCTATTAAACATATTTTTACATTAGTGATGTTGTGAGTAAAAATTAAAACCAATAGGAGGAACCATCAGAAAGAGTAAACAAAACTCAACAGAAGAGAAAAAAAATAGCAATTCGACTTCCATAGTTCTTTCTTTGATGTGGATAGCATTTTCCATCACAAGGCCTCTGGAGATGTCTTAGATCCTTGTATTGCCAGGAAGGGTTAAGTCTATCAATATTAGTCATCACACAACATGATTGTTATTGTGTACAATGTTCTCTTGGTTCTGCTCACTTCACTCAGCATCAGACCATACAAGTCTTTCTGGGTTTTTCTGAAGTCAGGCTGTTCATCATTTCTTATAGCACAATACTATTCCATCCCATTCATATACCACAACTTGCTCAGCCATTCCCCAGTTGATGGGCATCCTCTCAATTTCCAATTCTTTGCCACCACAAAAAGAGCTGCTAAGAATATTTTTGTACATGTAGATCTTTTTCCCATTTGTGTGATCTCTTTGGGATATAGCCCTAGAAGTGCTATTGCTGGGTCAAAGTGTATGCACATTTTTATAGCCCTTTGAGTATAGTTCCAAATTGCTCTCCAAAATGGTTGGATCATTTCACAACTCCACCAACAATGCATTAGTGTTCCAATTTTCCCACATCTTCTCCAACATTTATCATTTTCCTGTTTTGTCATGTTGGCCATTCTGATAGGTGTGATGTGGTATCTCAGAGTTGTTTTGATTTGCATTTCTCTAATCAATAGTGATTTAGAACATTTTTTCATGTGATTATAGATGGCTTTAATTTCTTCATCTGAGAACTGTCTGTTCATATCCTTTGACTTTATCAATTGGGGAATGGCTGGTATTCTTATAAATTTGACTTAATTCTCTATATATTTTAGAAATGAGGCCCTTATCAGAGATACTGGTTGTAAAAATTCTTTCCCAATTTTCCACCTTCCTTCTAATCTTTGTTGCATTGGCTTTGTTTGTGCAAAAACTTTTCAATTTAAGGTAGTCAAAATTATCTATTTTGCTTTTCGTAATGTTCTCTATCTCCTGTTTGGTCATGAATTCTTCTGTTCTCCATAGATCTGACAGGTAAAGCACATACACAAACACTGTTTATTTTTCACTACCTATTTAAAACAAACAGCTTCACATCTGGGACTTGAGATGCTGTGGCCTTGAGAAACTCTTTAAAACAGATCAGTAAGGAACAGCTAGGTGGCAAAGTGGATAGAACACTGGTCAAGAGGACCCAAGTTCAAATCCAACCTCAGGCGCTTGACACTTACTAGCTGTGTGACCCTGGGCAAGTCACTTAACCCTGATTGCCTCACCAAAAAAAAAACCAAACAGATCAGTCTTCAGTTCCTGAGCATATCAATTTGTAGCTCGATATAAGAGATGACCATGGAGCTAACTAAATTTCATTAAAAGCTTTCCCTCTTAAGACCTCCTAATACAGATGACTTTCAATTCAATATGACAGGTGTTGATATTAACCAAGTTTTGCCAAGCAATGCATTATGGATTTTTAACTCTGGCTGTTTTCATAGCACTTAAGACAGATCTCCACTGAAAGCAACTGGAAAGCTTCAGCTTTTCCACATCAGTGGGCCAACTACACTTTGGGAGGAAAAAACCTGGCAACAGATTTGATAGTGCTGTGAATAGAGGGTTAAATTTTTAGTTTTATTTTCTTCATTGATAGCAGGCTTGGTGCCTATATATACACACACACGCACACACATGTATGTATGTACATAGATACATGCACATATATGTGTTATTTGCTATGCATGTGTATTCATACATGTACACTGCTAGGCCTTAATTTTATTGCCTTCAGAGTACTTAAGATGAGAGAAGCGTTTGAAATACACTGAAGTCAAGGAGTTAACTTTCAAATAGGTTTGTATTTCATTTCACATATGCCTCAGCTTTAAGGACTCTCATTTTTATTCTTAATAGCTACCATGCTGTCTCTCCTACTTGGTGTTAGGAATAGTAATATATTTATTCCAGCTAACCAAGTTACTGTTAAAGAAAATTTTAAACATTAAAGCCCAGCTATTGGCAAGAATTTTAATTGTTGATCTTCAGTAAAAAAAAATTTTTTTAATTGGCTCATTATACTGGTGCTACACTGCCTTGGGCAGCTAATGCTCACAAACTACCATAACTGGAATCATACATTTACACCTGGTAAGTGTGCAAGGATCTAGTAAAGCCTGAAAACTCTTGTTGGGTTTGTTTTTGTTTTTTTAAATCAGTGTGCAATCTTGATTTAAACTGTCACTAAGATAAAATTGTCCTGTGTCGTGTTAGCTGGTCTAGATCATTTTGTATCTGTCTTCAGTTGGCAAAGGAGACTGGAAGGGGTTCCTTTTTTAATAATTTCTCGAAATACTTTACTTACTTAAACCTTGGTTCCCAATTCCAGCATGATCTTTTACAGAATCAGATTGTTATTTGTTGATTTGGGGATGGTGGGGCCCACCTGGAGTCCCTGCTGCTGGGGAGGTTAATGCTTGTGGATCTCTGCAGCTAAGGAGTTCTGAACCGCAATAGGGCAAAAGCCGGTAGGGTGTCAGCAGTAAGCCTGGCACCAATATGGAGAGCCACCAGGTTGCCTGAGGAGGGGCAACTAAGGGACTAAGGGACTAAGACCAGAACCACGGCTTTGCAGCCCCCAGCTCAATGTTCTTCCTAATGCACCATAGGACCCTGAAGGATATTTTCTTATTTCAAAATGTCAGCAAACCTCATTAATAGCCAGGAAAATCATGCCAGAAACAGAAAAGTTATGACCTGACTTACTTTGGAACCTTTGGGAAGGATATACGATGCCCATTTCAGACTCATCTGCTACCATAAATGTATTGCTCTATAGTTATTTTGTCATTCTCTAGATTGAAATCTTGTGGTATAATGCATTATACCTATTTTTTAAAAGGTTTTTGAATTTTATTTTTGATTATAGGCCAAAAATTATTTAAGACACAGCAAGATGCATGTGTTTGTTGTGTTGAAAATGTAGAATATTACAGTATTAATTCAATTTAAAATGACATCTTTCTCAGCCTCGTTAGTCCTGGCAAGAAGACTTTGGCTTATGACTGCATTTAATGTAGTTGTGTTTAGCAGAAACTGGTTCTGCTTCTTCTTTTAACTTTGCAGTCTGTAACATCATGCTATTTATTTAAAAAAAAAAAGACAAAGCAAAAAATAATTATTTGTACTTATGTGTTCAAACATTCCTTAGCATCCTTTGTACTTAAAAGAAAAACACAGTAAAGTGTGTATGTCTCATTTTCTCCTGTGTATTTACAAGCAAAATTGTGGTAGTCTTAATAATTAATTGTTTCTGGATAGTTCTTTGGTTGACAGTTTAATCCTCCTAGGCAGCAAAAGTCAAACAAGGAATTTGGGCCCATGGCACAATGGGTTTAGTTGCAGAGTTTAGAAATTAGCCATGTGTAGTGGCAGGCTGAGCTTTATTCAGTAAAGTCTGGAAGAGGAAACACAGCGTAGGACTTTGGTAAGTTCAGTGTTTAGTGGAGGTCAAGAAACAGACTATATTGCAGACCCGTGCCACTAAGTTCAATGATTCAGACTAGAAAATAGCATATTTTCTTACTTCTTCTCTAGCAGATAGTCATTGAAATCTCATTTACTTATTTCACAATTTCCCCATATGATTGAAGGTTCAAGTCTTTTCCCGAATTAACTTCGTTCTTCTTGTCTAGTTGTTTCACTTCCTCGAAATAGCCTAGTTGGTACTGTAGATCATTTTGAACGTTCTCCATAATCAATCCAGTATAAAATACTAGGATTGTCAATAGTGTAGATTGAAATTACTTTCCTTGAAAAATAAGTCTTACGGTAAGTGCTCTCCAAACTAGGAAAAATGGTTTTATCTCAATGGATAAAACCAGCTATATTGACCGTATTACATTTCAAAGGGCTAAGAATTTGCCAGAAGGTTCCCAGAATCACCAAATTGGAGAGTTGGACGAGAACTCATTGACCAACCAGCCTAACCCATGCACAGAAAGAATCCCTACTATAATACCTGAGTGGCCATTTGGTGGAACTGAAGAGCTCCAAGAAGGCACCACCATCTCCAAGGCAGCCTGTCCCATTCTTGGACAGTGCTTGTTGATAGGGAGTTTTTCCTGACATCAAGCCTAAATTTGCTTCTTTGCAACTGCTGCCCATTGCTCCTGGTTTGGTGCTTCAGAGCCAACAAAACAAGTCCCTCTTCCACTTGATACACCTTCAAATACTTGAAGACAGCTATGATGTCCCTTTTAAGTCTTTTTTTCCGGGTTAAACATACCCAGTTTCTTCACCTGATCCTTTAAAATGGCGAGACCCAGTGCGCCTAGAATCCAGAGCTCTGAGATTAGACATAAGTGTAGTATAACAGATCCTTTTTCCTCCCTCTCCTGGGATCTCAACCCTTCTCTTCCGGTCTTACTCATAACTTTGGGAAGGACAGGGCTGAGATAAAACTACCTTTAGGGCAAAATTTTCAAGTCTCAGAAAACTTTGTGGAAGAAGGAACCCAAGCAACATTACTGCTGTCTTCTACTTAGTTACTGTGATCCTATAATCTTGAAATTAATTACTATAATTGTGCTGGATTAGAATCTTCAGATCTACTTTTGGGTCTAGAAAGTGTTTCTTACATTAACATTCAAATTCTGCAAGCTTCGGTTTTACAGGAAAGCTTTTGACTGGTATAGTCACAAGAAACTGACGTCATGACATCCGGAAGTTATTTCTGACGTTCCCCATTTTCTATTTTAGGGAGCAGTGTGGTAGAGTATAGAGGGCACTAGATTTGAAGTCGGGTAGATCTGGCTTCCAGTCCCACTTCAGACCTTTACTAGCTATGTGACCTTGAACAAGTCACTTAGCCTCTTTGGGCCCAAGTTTCCTGATTGTCAGAATGAGGGGATTCACCTCGAAAGCTTCTAAAGTTCCTTCCAGTGCTAGATTCATGAGCCTGTGATGATAGTAAGTTCATAGGATTGTAGATTTAGTCCTAGAATGGACCCCAGTGACCATGTGGTCACACATTTAGAGCTGAAAGGGACCTTATAGACCATCCACCCCAACACTTATTTTACAGATGAGCAAACTGAGGCCTGGAGAGGACAAACAACCTGCCCAAAGTCACTCAGGCAGCAAGTTCTTTATGTTCTGTGAAGACATTTTTTAAAAAAAAACCATTATGGAGGTACTCTAGTAGCCAAAAACAGGCTCCAGTTTGTTCAGAATCAATCTGAAAAACATTATTAAAGTCTTAGAACTTTCATGATTCACTTTCCAAGGCAGGATCTTTAAAAAGATAATCAGCTATTGCTTATTTTGTGGGAATTAGTTACATTATGGATTGCCCCAGTGAAGGTTAAACTCTTGGCCATTTTCTTCATGCTCCAGGGCCTGCCCTCAACAACTACCCAGCCAATATGTGTTTGTGTGAATGTATATGTGTGGGGACCATTAACTCCTTAAACATAAGTTTATGAAACACATAGTTAGGAAGAGAAACTTGAATAGAAGAAGATGTGCCCATTAAGTAATAAACATAAATGGCTTTCAGATTAGCCACCGAATTTTCCAGGTTCCCCTGCCATAGCATATCATCAAGGGCCAACTCTAACCAAAATGATGTACATTTGAGTATAGATTATATATTTTCCTCTCTTGGTAGTAGGATTTGGAAAACTTTCTTTTCAGCTTTCTATAATGAATGAGTTGGCATTTGGACTTCTGCCTAAGCTAGTTTAGAGGGGGGACCCTAGTATGTGTACATCTCAGCTGATGGTACCATTCTGGGGAAGCACGTGATGCAGCTCCCTCCCATGTCTGACAGATTCAAACTAGAGCTTAAATCCAAATCCAAAAACATCTAGATCTTGTGCTTTTTTGGTTATGTATCAGACTAACCTTTTAGATAGGATGGAAAGGGGTTGTGGGGAAAAAGAACTGGTACGTTTTTAATTGCTAAAAGAAATGCATGGTCTTTTTTTTTCACATGAGAAATACCATGTAACAATTTCAGAGTTGTCTTCTACAGAGTTAATTTGCAAGCAGACTTAATCAGTGACTAAATAAATCATGTAAAGGGAGTAGTTTTTTTTTTTTAACTGGGCCGCCATCTTAAAAACCCTTGATCTCTTTCTTTCTCCCCTTTCTCCACAGTCTGTATTGTTGCAGTTCTTTCTGGGAAGCTATGTTGCCAGCTTCTCTCGCCATGTTGGTGTACTCCTCACACAGCACTGACAAGTGTTGTGTTAATTTCACCATGCCCACAATCAATGCGCCACCCAACAGAGTCAATGATGGCCAGAACAAGGAGTGGAAGATAACCGCTTGGTCATACTTTTTAATCAGGACGACATCCTCCGGTTTGCCATCTGGGCTGTAGAAGCAAGAGAAAGGAGTCCCATTTTTGTGATCAAAGAATTCCTTGATGTCCAGAGCACTGTTGAGTAGATCATTCTTATCTCGATGGCATTTTGGTGTGTAAAAGCACTAGGAAGGGAAAGAAGGAAGAAAAAAAGAAAGACGTGGTCATGAGGAATGCCGCAGCATGAGACAACAGTTTCCAAATGCTGAAACACCTTTAACCTAAATGTTGCCTTAGCCTCATGACCATGGTGTGGTGGTGGCAGCAGCAGGGTCCCGAGGATGAAGCGGTGGTTTGGCCATCTCAAGTCGGGAATCAAAAGAAAATTCATGGTAAGAAGCTTTGGAAGATGGAGACCACCTGGTGGCTTGAGTTGTTTCTTCTCTCTGCCTTCCTTTCACAACAGCACTCCCACTGGGACTTTGTAAACCTATCTCTCCTTTCTGTTGCCTCACTTTTCCATTTGAAATTGTCAACTTCTCAACTTGTCTGCCTTGTGTCCTTGTGTTCAGCAACTAAAATACTGGTCAGGAATATCTCCCAAGGGGCAGCTAGGTGTTGCAGTGGATAGAGCACCAGCCCTGGAGTCAGGAGGGCCTGAGTTCAAATCTGGCCTCAAATACATAACACTTACTAGCTGTGTGACTCTGGGCAAGTCACTTAACCCCAATTGCCTCGCAAAAAAAAAAAAAAGAAAAGAAAAGAAAAGAAAAGAAAAAAGAAAGAAAGAAAAGAAATATCTCCCAAGCACACCACATTGTGTTATTGCCCTGAATCCTTGGATGAGGAGAAGCCTGGGTGGGGGTTGGGGGAGGGGAGGGGAGGAGGGAGAGACAGTGTCATGGTTCTGGTACTGACCATCAACTCAGGAAGCCAGCTTAGGTAGGAAGGGTGTGGCTCTGTCAGCTGATGGTTGGGTGTTTCTTTTTTAAAGCATCTGAAGTTTACATAGATAAATTGGAGGAACAACACTGGAGTCAAATGACCAGGGTTCAAATCCAGACTCTCATCTTGTATGGTCCTGGGAAAATCACTTAACAATTTCCTCATTTGTAAAATTAAGGGGTTAGACAGGATCAGAGGTTCTTTTAAAAATCTATTTTGATAACTGTAATATAATAATTTATTTTCTTTGTAATCCTATATATTCTATATACTTAAAAATTATTTTGAGATGATGTCCATAGGCTTGACCAGATTGCCAAAGGGGTCCACAGCAGCAAAAATAGTTAAGAACTCCTAGACTACGTTATTTGAGATCCCTTCTAGCTACAAATCTATGGTTCTATAATTCTACTCATCCTCACTTTCAGATTTTGACTTTTTTCCTCTTAAGGCTCTTTGATCATTTTAACCTGCTTTCATCTTTATTCATTGGGGAAGGATTTCCCAAAGCCCCCCTAAGAGTAAGCTCCAGACCCTGGACCCTGGAGGAAAGGCTGTGCTCCTGATCTACAAAAGACTGCTGGCAACCTTGGCCTTTAAATATATCATCAGTACATACATTACCTCTGGGTTTATCTGAACAGCTTCTTCATTATAGTGCAGGAAAGCTTTCTGACCGGAATGGGAGAGGTTTACAGACACCTGGAGGCAAGGGTACTTCCCCTGGCCCCGGCAGTCGACCCCGCAGGTGAATGAACAATCCAGCCAGTCATCCTTCACATGCGTGTCCATAATGGTACAGTTTGCCTCTTCTCGCTGCGTGCTTGAATTCAAAAATATTCATGATTTACCTCTCCTCTAAAGCAAAGTTTTGGCAGATTGGCATTCGACATACAATCAAATAAAGTGTGGCAGGCTGCCTTTCTTTTCACCAACATTCTTGGCAAATGGTTAAGTTGCCAAATCAGGGCTCGGGTCCTGTGGACCCTGGTTTCTGTCTTGCCCCCTAAGACTTGACTACCCTGGGCAAATCAGCGAGAGGTTTATTTTCCAAAGAGCCTGAGAAGTCACAGGCCAGTCTGATTCAACAAGAATTTATTAAGCATTTACTATGTGCAAGGTGCTTGGGATGGGTCCAGAGCTATGATTTCCTATTTGTAGCTAACTCCCTCTTCAGAGACACTCTCTATTGATGCAAGTCAGCAACTCTTCTGTAACTTTCAGTCCTAGTTGCCTGGAACACTAGGAAGTTAAGTGACTTGGCCAGGTTCACACAGTCAGTATGTGTCAGGAACACTTACTACATCTTCCTGACTCCAGGGCCCATATCCACCAAACCACACCACTGCCTGGAATTTAGGAATATAAAAACAAAACATCCCTGCCCTCAAGGAACTTCCTTTCTACCGACCAATCCAGGGGATGGACTCTATAACTTGGGCTTTGCAATGAAGAGGCAAAAGATTGCTCCCTCACCTAATACATAATCTTAATTTACCAAGCCATCCTATATGTTAGGTCTCAACAAACAGGCAAGGGGTGAGCCAGGTCTTCAACAAATAACCATGCATACAAGGTTAAGGCTGGAAGGGACTTTTGAGATCCATAGGTTACGTTTCTATGGTGTTTTGAGGTTTGTGAAACATTTTATAGACAATCTCATTTGACTTTCATGGCTTGAAAACTGACTGATATCTTAGGTTTTGGAGTACAGAGAGACAAGCATTCTCTCTCAGCCCTGATCTCTGAACTGGAAGACAGATTTGAGTGATGTGCAGTTGTCTGTAGAGAGATGCACACCAAATTCCAGAGGCAGAGGAAGGTTTGAGAGAGAGAACTAGAGAAGCAAGCAGGAGCAGCAATGTGGACACTGAATCCCCAGGCTCACCTAGTTCACTATTAAAAAGAATTACGAGGGCAGAGACAACAACTGAAAGGAGAAATGAGAAACTGGAGTGAGGGCCGAGATACCGAAGAGAAGGGAGAAACGTAGAACCTGAAATCATCTTGAAACAAATGATTCAGACCAAAGTTATCAGTTGTCATCACCTCCTCAAGAAGTGAGGGAAGTTTCCTACTCCCCCTCCAAAAAAAGTCTGCTCTTTCTATGCCTATCCAGTAGCAAACACTGTAACATACTCTGCTCACTTCTTTTACCTAAATATTTCCTGGATTCTGATTTTGACTCAAATATTAAGAGGGCATCAGTTAGCTAGAAATATAACTAGGTCCTGATTAGTGTGAATCCTTTGGAGCAGTTGTATGTATTTGAATTTGCACTATTTGAAGTTATAATTACATAAGTATGGTCATTGGTTCCAACCTAATGGAAATATACAGTATTAATCTGAAAAATGTGGCCACTTTGGAGGATTCATTATTTGACCAATAAAGACTTAACTGTATATAAAACTTTAAATTAGGACAGAAAGCCAGACTTCTGTTTGAATGTTAGAAATTTTCCTAATTAGGGGCTCCCAGCTATTGTTATTATGTTAATAATTTCTCATCTCATATAAATTCCACAAAACAGCAGAGACATGTAGAAATAAGGGCCATTGTGTTGTCCCTAGGCTACAAGTAAACTAGCTCTTGTAACAAGTTGAGGTTAATTAAAGGTCCCCCCAAAAAAGCAAACAGGCCAACAGTACCTTCCACTGACCACCCCCAGTGTTAACCCAAGTATTATCCCTGTTTTACAGATGAGGAAACTGAGGCTTAGGTCTAGTGATGTGCCCATGATCACACAGTTGGTCAATGTCAGAAATTATATTTGAACAGCATTTAGCTGCCAAGTGCACAGGAAATATAGATTAAAAGTCATTAGAAAAAGGTGCCTTTTCTGCACAACCCCATGAAATAGGCAAAATAGCTATGCCCAATTTAAAGGTGAAAAAAACAAAGTGGAAAGAGTTTCAATTAACTTAACCACGGTCACTTGGCTAGTAAATTTCAGAATGAGTATTTGATCTCAGCTCTAGAACTTTTTCTATGATTCCACCTGGCAAGTATCACTGGTCCACCTCTTCTCCTAACTTACTTTAGGTCATCTCTGGTCAGTCTTTGGGTGTTAGGAAATATGATGCTGACATTCTTGATAAGCTTCCTAGCCACCAGTTTCTTAAACTCAACTGAGTTCCAATCATATTCTACTGCTGGCATGGAACTCTCTGATCATTGCAACACAAGTTTGACCCAGAACCAGAAATGCACAAGCTCTCTCTCAGAATGGCTCTAACATGTTCAAGAGGGATTTCCCTTGGAAGGGGTCCTACAGGATTCATCTGAACTCTTCACTAAGCGTTGGTATCACCTTCTTCAGTTAAGTAGGGGCTTTGGGGGAATTATGGTTAGCAGCATGGGCTGTTACACTACTTTACAGCATTTTAACATTAAAATCAATTCTGAGGGGCAGCTAGGTGGCACAGTAAATAGAGCACCAGCTCTGGAGTCAGGAAGACCTGAGTTCAATCCAGCCTCAGACACTTGATGCTTACTAGCTGTGTGACCCTAGACAAGTCGCTTAACCCCATTGCCTAACCCCCCCAAAAAAAACCCCTTCAATTCTGAGCCACCACACAGCAGAATCTTAGACTCTGCCATGGGCACACCCTAACAGGAGGGCAATTGGTCTCACATGATAGTACTGGAGTGGCAGCAACAGTTTATGCCTGGCATCATCCTGCTCAGGTTGAGTGCCTGAATCCCTGTCATTCCTGCCAGTGCAGGCACAGACAAACACAATTTGACATTGTGTCAAGTGGTGGGGATGTATATAAGACAAACTTCTTTAGGCCCCTTCTCCAAATGGGTATCAAATTAGGGCAAGATGTGAACTTGCAAGGAAAGGCTCCTGAGAATCACAGACTACCACAGTCACAATGAGACCCTTCCCTGTCTAGCCCCACATCCATCACTATGTACTCACACAATTCTGGGGTTAATGACACACCAGCACAGTTACTCTTCCTGGAATAGTGGCTATATGAGTACCTTCCACCATCAACTTCAAGTCAAACAGTCATTTACCAAGCATCTCCTACACGAAAGGTCCACTGTGCGGTGCTGGGGGAAGTATAAAGTTCTGCTGAGCCACAATCCCTATCCTCATGAAGTTTACCTTCTAGAAGGGGCATCAGATCTAAGCACATACAACCATAACACACGATATTAGAGCATCTAAGAGGAGCAAAAAAAATGCCCTGTATACTCTAAAAATGAAGGTTGTTAACAAAAGCAGGAATCAGTGAAGAAAAGCTTCGTGGTGGATATGATATTTGGCATTGAGCTTTTTAGTGAATGGGCAAGAATCCAACAGACATTCCAAGCCCAGGAAACAACAGGAGGAAGGCACATAGAGAGGAAAATATGCTCAAGTGACAGAAAATAGTCTAGTTTGGCTGAGGTGTTGAGTATTTGGAGATGAATAATAACAGGTAAGGTAGGGCAGCTCAGTGACACAGCGGATAGAGTTCCAGGCTTGGAGTCAGGAAGACTCATCTTCCTGAGTTCAAATCTGGCCTTAGACACTTCCTAGCTATGTGCCCCAGGACAGGTCTCAGTTTGCCTCAGTTTTCTCATCTGTAAAATGAGCTGGAGAAGGAAAAGGCAAACCACTCCAATATATTTCCCAAGAAAACCCCAAATGGGGTCACGCTGAACATGACTAGGCAACAACAATATGAGATGAGTAGAAAGGTAGGCTGGCATCAGAGAGGTATCCCCTTTGGAGGGCCTTGAATGCCAAACAAAGGAGTTTGGATATGACCTGGAAGACGATAGGGAAGTCTTAAAATTCTTGTTCTTTTTTTTTCAGAAAAGCATAGTAGAGAGGCAGTGTTACATGGTGGATAGATCACTGGACCTGAAGTTAGGGAGACCAGAGTCCATACCTATCTCCGCTACTTACTAGCTGTGTGATCCTGGACAAGTCACATAACCTCTCTGGGCCTCAGTTTCCTCATCTATAAAATGAGAGAATCAGACTAGATGTCCTCTGAGGTGTCTTCCAGCTCTGAGGCTATGGCCTTATTATCCTCCGAGTGCCACGACCAGATCCACGTAAAGGGAAGATTGGTCCAGCTGGTGACGAAGTCCATACAGGTGGGGAAGGGTAGAGGGAGCAACACTCATTAAGAAGTTGTTGTGACATACAGCAGCAGCGGGAGAAGCAAGCGAGCGAGCAAGCGAGCTGCACGGCCGAGATGTGTGACTTCACGGAGGATCAGACAGCAGAGGTCAAGGAGGCCTTCTAGCTGTTTGACCGAACAGGGTATGGAAAGACCTTATACAGCTAGTGTGGGGATGTGATGCGAGCCCTGGGCCAGAACCCTACCGATGCTGAGGTGCTCAAGGTCTTGGGGAATCCCAAGAGTGATGAGATGAATGTGAACGTGCTGGACTCTGAACGCTTTCTGCCAATGCTGCGGACTGTAGCAAAGAATAAGGACCAGGGCACGTATGAAGACGACGTAGAAGGGCTTCGGGTGTTTGATAAGGAAGGGAATGGCATAGTCATGGGGGCTGAAATATGACACGTCCTCATCACCCCGGGGGAGAAAATGACAGAGGAAGAAGTGAAAGTGTTGATGGCAGGGCATGAAGACAGCAACGATTGCATCAACTTTGAAGAGCTAGTCCAGATGGTGCTGAATGGCTGAGAACAACTCCCCTTTCCACAAAGAACCCCCTAACTTTTCTCAATGTGAAAATCATCCTCTTGCCCCTGAAGCAACTAACTACGACATCCTTACTTCCAGCCCCCACAATATGTCGTCTTTGGCCAATTTGCTCTCTTCTCTCACCCAATAAACTTGCTATCTG